AACTAAATTCACTGTCATCAGAACATTTCATTAGCACTCCTGCCCCTGGGACCCAGTCTATACCTCCTTCTCTCCTTCCTCCAGTCCTGCCTTCTCTTTGAAGGCCTCCCTGCACGCTTCATAGGTAGGTACTCAAGGCATGAATTTTGAGAAAATCATGGGATAGACTCAGCTGCCAGGACTCCCTGAGTGTCTTCCTCGTTTTCTTCGCTATCTCCTTCCGAGGGCATGCTTTGGGCTTCTCCAGCAGCCTCTGAACAGCCCACAGTACTCTCTGTGGGGTCTGACTACAAAGATACCACAGTGATACCATAGTTGCTCTGAGTACAAGGTAGGGGGAGGGATGCAATGGATTATGATGTGACATTTTAGCCACCAACAATTATTTACTCAGGTTTCCAAACTATTTGATCAGTGCTTGAGCTCTTCACATCTTAACAAGGAGTCCTATGTTCTTCTGGAGAACACTCTTCCAGGATTGCTCAGTAGTGACCACTTCCCTTGTCCATTCATTTAAAAAAATTGTTGCATACCTGCCATATCTTAGGAAAGCTTTCTGAAACAAACTCCAGAATGTGAATTTATTAGATTATTCCAGAATAAGAATTTGAATTGTTTTCTTGACTTCCTCTGCTATTTACAAGTGATGCAACTGTTATGCAACTAATTTCACGTTTCTGTATAATGTTTTATTTTTCATTATATCCTTTTACTTTTCTTCTTCTCATGTTTATAGACACTTTATTCAAATCATTATACCACTATAATAGCAAGGTCCCAGCTAAGCCTTTTACTTTTCTGTATGCATCAGGTGTGTGTTTTAGATGCAAACCCCATAGTCAGGACCCTGGAGTCAGACCCCTTGTGAGTCGGTGGGTAGTAGAAGCTGAGAGCACAGATTCCAGACACAGCTTCACCCTTGGCTCTGCCACTTACCAGCTGCGTGAGCTTCCGTAACTTATTTCATCTTTTTGAGCTTCAGTTTTCCCCATCTGTAGGAGAAATAGTACCCAATTGCATGCGTGGTGGGGATTAGATCCGAGAAGTATTTGTGAAGTGCCCCTCTCTCTCACACACACACGCACACACCAGAAACTGGCCTCTACTGCCAGTGATTCTCCTGGTGAAGTGCTGCAGCCCTGCTGGTAGGTTCTGAAATGCCCAAGACAGGCCTATGACGATGACGATAGCAATGATAATGTTCATAACAAGACATAAAGCCCTTATGACTCAAAATTAGTGCCAGGATCACACAGCTCAAAGTTACTAGAAAACTGTTTTACCCTCATATTGCCTGGGTAGTCAAGACCCGGGCATTTTCTCCCTATCCACTGTGGTTGTTAGGGACATCAGGTGATGATAATTCATTGTGCAATTTCTGAGAAGGTAGAGGGGCTGTGGGGACTGTGGTAATAATAGAGAATGGTCATCACCCTTTAGGGGCTCGGGAACCTCCTACTGCCCTCTCCCCTCTATACACACCGACAGTCAATGGACGAACAAGTTACTGATGATCTTAAAACTAGGCCAGCATTTCCTAATCCTAACTGAAAGGTTTAGGTAGAAGCTGAACTGGAGGAACAAGGCTTAGGCCAGGAGGTCCAAGCAAGGTGTCTTTTTTCCTACATCATTACTGTGTGTCTCTGGTCCTTGTCTCCATCTAGGGGAGATTGACAAGTCACAGCTCCTACTGAAGGAATATCCCTCAACTGCCATATTCTTTACCAGTTGACCCTCGCTCTTCCCCAGTTGGCCCAAAGGTGGCTCCAGACCCAAAGGCCGCTGATCAGTAAGCTGGTCAGGGACCTACAGTGTGGCCTGCTGAGAAATGATGAGCAGTGACCAATCACATTGTCAGCCTTGGGAATCTGACTTTGGAAATATAGAGCCAATGAAGCTGTGAGCGATGGGGGTTGAAGCTGAAAGAATCTGGAGGTGTTTAAACGGCTGTGATAGTCCAGGCGAAAGAAACTGGCATTGCAGCAGAGCTGTACTGTAGAAGAGCGTATAGTGTGGAGGGCTGTAAGTGAAGCAGACAGAGGAGAGCTGAGCCAAGGCAAGGGTGAAGCATTATATAAGAATCGTCAGGCTGGGTGCAGTGGCTCACACCTGTAATCCTAGCACTCTGGGAGGCTGAGGTGGGTGGATTGCTCAAGGTCAGGAGTTCGAAACCAGCCAGAGCAAGAGTGAGACCCCTGCTCTACTAAATATAGAAAGAAATTAATTGGCCAACTAAAAATATATAGAGAAAACATTAGTTGGGCACTGTGGCACATGCCTGTAGTCCCAGCTCCTTGGGAGGCTGAGGCAAAAAGATTGCTTGAGCCCAGGAGTTTGAGGTTGCTGTGAGCAAGGCTGATGCCATAACACTCTAGCCATTGCTGAACACAGTGAGACTCTATCTCAAAAAAAAAAAAAAGAATTGTCAGAGAGTACTTCTTAACACCTATGGCTGCCTTGCTTGCCCCTAGAGATTCTATTTAACTGGTGTAGAGTGGGACCCTGGCATTAATAGGTTAGAAATCTCCTCCGCTGAATCTAGGGTATAGCCAGGTTGGAGAACCACTGACCTTCAGAGAAGTTTCCCGGCCCCAAAGTTCCTGCTGCTGAGGTTCTAACTCTCTATAGTATGGCTCCAGCTCTGCTAGAGACCAGATGGTTCAGATTCTCCTGGGTTCATTGGCAGACACTTCTGGATATTTAATTACTTGCAACTCCTGCCTTATTTTTTGCTAACAGAGCCTTATTTTATCCAGGTATTAGAGCTCCAATATGGTCAAGGAAGATAGGCGTAATCCCAGATGAAGAAGTTTAATTGGCCCGAACCAAACATAATAATCCCATTCCCCTTTTCCCATCTTAGAGATGTGTATGTGATCTAGTTGTGACCAATGACATGGGGGCACCTTGTGGGAAAGATTTGAGAGAGAGAGAGAGAGAGAGAGAGAAGCTGGGAAAGTGGATTTGGAAGTTTTGCTGTTGATGTGATGCCTGGAGCTTCAGGAGCCATCTTGTGAATATGAGGTGAAAAACTAAAAGAACTACAGAGAAGCTAACCAGAGTCCTGATATTATTCCTGAATTAACTAACCCAGGAACCACTTACCTCCAAATTTTTTATTATTTACTAGGTGCTTACGGTAAGCCAGGTGCTGTTCTAAGCACTTTTCGTGTATCAGTGAGTGGAATCCTTAAAAACCCTGAGGCTTAACAACCCTAAATATGAGAATGATAAATGCCTTCTCCCTGTACCCACACCCCACCTCTGCAGCCTAAGGCACCAGAACTGGCTGTTTCATGCAAGAACAGCCACCCCCTACACTACTCAACACAAGCATGTCTCTCTGTGAGACAAAGGACATAAAGTGTATACTCTTTGGGTAAAAAATAGCAAAAAGACAGCAAAAGGCTGAGTGGAACTCCATGGTATACATACACATTTTATTAATCCACTCATGTACTGATGGGCCCTTGGGTTGTTTCCACATCTTTGCAATTGTGAATTGTGCTGCTATAAACATTCAAGTGTAGATTTTTTTTTTACAGAATGTCTTTTGTTCTTTTGGGTAGATGCCCAGTAACAGGATTGCTGGATCAAATGGTAGATCTACTTGTATCCCTTTGAGGTATCTCCATATTACTTTCAACAGAGGTTGTCCTAGTTTGCAATCCCACCAGCAGTGTATGAGTGTTCCTATCTCTCTACAAAAAACAATGGTGATCTAACACCTCTTGTATTATCCTGGATAGAGCTGGAAAATAAGTGAATTATTCTACTAAGTGAAGTACCACAAGAATGGAAAAACAAGCACCACATGCACTCACCGTCAAATTGGTATTAACTGACTTAAGTGACCAACACTTAAGTGCACATATAGAAGTGACATTTATCGAGTGTCAGGCAGGGGAAGGGGGATGGGTGTATTCACACCTAATGTGTGCGGTGCGCACTGTTTGGGGGATGGGCACGCTTGAAGCTCTGACTTGGATGGGGAAAAGGCAATATATGTAACCTACACATTTGTACCCCCATAATATGCTGAAATAAAAAAAAGATTAAAAAAAAAGACAGCCAAAGGCATCATAGCTAGCTAGTGAGTTCTGTATCTACAGACCTGCGCCGGCTCTCACTCAATAAATGCTCACGCTGTGCCGTATGCTGAGGGTGCTTTCAGCGGTGCCTTTCATGTCATCAACAGAGCTGCTGACGGCTCTCCCTTACCCTTTCCTTTCACCCCTTACTGGTGTCTCTGCTTTTTTTTTTTTTTTTGAGACAGAGTCTCCCTTTGTTGCCCAGGCTAGAGTGAGTGCCATGGCGTCAGCCTAGCTCACAGCAACCTCAAACTCCTGGGCTCAAGCAATCTTTCTGCCTCAGCCTCCCGAGTAGCTGGGACTACAGGCATGCGCCCACCATGCCCGCTAATTTTTTCTATATATATTAGTTGGCCAATTAATTTCTTTCTATTTATAGTAGAGACGGGGTCTCGCTCTTGCTCAGGCTGGTTTCCAACTCCTGATCTTGAGCAATCCGCCCACCTCGGCTCCCAGAGTGCTAGGATTACAGGCGTGAGCCATGGTCTCTCTACTCTTAATCCATTGCTTCCCTCTTCCCCTTTTCTCTAACTCTCCAAAAATGGGATATAAGAGGAAGAGAAACAGAGCACCTTCCTCGTAAATAAACCAACTCTGGGGTGACAGCAGATTTTAAAATATGGATTTCTGGGCAGCAGAGAGTCCTTAAGTATTAACAATTGCTCTCATCAGCTTGGTTGCATCTCCAAAACAGGCTTTGTTTTCCTGTGGTCCTGTTCCCTTAACAGAAGCTTAAGCATCCCCTAGGAAAGGGGACTGTGCACCAAGGAGGTACACACATGCTCCTGAGTCACTCTCAGCAGCCACCACACCTTTGTTTCTCTATCTTCAGAACTCTCACTCACAGGTTCTGAAAGTGGTCAGCTTTGGCTTGGTGCCTTGATTTCAGCTCAAAGAACGTCAGGTACAAATAGTTTATACAGACTTTATTTTTTACCTGGTGAGGCGAGCACACACAAGTCTGGGCAGGGGGTCCATGAGATGCAATGTCACAACTACCTGCCCTGGTTCATGGACACAGACCATGAGACTTGGTGGTGAGGGACAGGGGTCTTGTTCCTACCACAAATTGCTACGGGATTATCACAATGACACATTTGTTCTCAGTTCTATCTACACCATGGAGTATGGAGAGGGTACATTTCTTACACTAAAAATATATACTTTGGAATCTCTAAAACAAAAATATCTCTATCTCTACATGAGACCTACTAGAAAGAACATAGAAAACAAGGGAAATGTACCAGCACCTCGAGTTGTCCCCTTCCGTGGGAAGGGTGCTCTTCTCTCCACCTGACACCATTAGCTTAGAAGGGAAGCCGAATCTAACCAATCAGACAGACAGACACAAATAAACAAGAGAGAGGTTTATGATCCTGGAGGAGTGAATATGGGTGAAAGGAAGGAGGAGGAAGATTTTGGCCTCTTTTACAAAAGGAGTAATTGCACATTCAATTTGGTGCTTCTGTTTCCAACAGAAAACACATGTGAAAAACCTTTCACATTGCACATGTGAAAAACCTGCATGTTGAAGTCAATTGCAAACCTGCTAAGAGAAGCCCAAGCTCTGCTAATTTCTGCTGGTTTAGAAAAATGCCGTGGGTGGGTTCTCTCTGTCAGGAAATATTAATGGCATCAACTACAAAAAAAAAAAGTTCTCTATTCTGTAATGCTGAAAGTGGATTAGGTTTAAGAAAAAAATGCTATTCCTTTTCTCTCCAGAAGGATTAGAAACAACTCCATCCCCTTTGAGCATAGAATCTCCTAAAAGAATTATGCCTATGGATGAATCATTCTGCTTTCTGAATTTTCCTATTGGAAAGGTTCACATAACACTTCTTTCCTCTTTTCACACTTCAAGCAATAATACAGTTACTTTACATCTCTCTTGGTTATGAAAATTACCCTCCCTTCTGATAAAGAAATGTTAACTGAGTCAACCACTCATTCTCTATAATTAATGTTAAGAGACCAAGGGCACTGAGAATCATAAAGGACAGATTTAGTAGAAAAATCACTTCTATTTGGCTTTGAAATGTCCTTTTGTGCTTACACTGAAATATGGATTAGCCTGAGGGCTTGAGAATTCTTAGTCCCTCACCCTAAATAAGGAAAATAACATAAAGTCCCCTTTCTGAGAAGCCCCCAAACTGTCCAACCTCACAGCTCTCATCACCCCCATTGGTTTTAGGACCTCTGAACAAGAACTTCTTCCCTCCAAGAGCTTGAAAGACTGAGGAAAAAGCAGAAAAGAGAGGAGTACAGGATGCTTGAAAAAGCTGAGACGGTGAAGGGAAGAGGAACTTGGGTGATGTCTCATTTGGCCATCCAGGGCCTGTTGGAAGGATTTCTACCTAATGGGAGGCCCAACAGCTACAACCAGAAGAAACCCTTCACTGTAGGGTTTCTGGATGCCCTGCTAGGATGTGGCTTGGAAACCTGAGAAGTTTGAGCAGGGTGCAGTAACCAACTGGCAAAGATGACTGTTTAAAAGTCCTAGAGGAGGTGCTGACTCTCTTGCAAAAGAAATTTAGAAAAGCTGGTAAAGTGGCAGAGAGAATATATTGATAGTGTTTCTCATGCTAGTAGGAAAGAAAGCCAGGGCCCTGGGTCGAGGCTGCTTCTATACTTCAGGAAAACCTGAAACTCAGAACATGGACATTGAAATCAACAGAGAAGATGCTGGGAGAATCACTGATTCCTCTACGAAGAGGGAAGTCTGGAGAGTAGAGTGAGTAGAAAATAAAGTAGGACTAGGAACTGTCTTTTTTGGGTGACCAGAAACCACAGGTTGCCCAAACCAGAGACTTCTTGAAGGTCACAGCTATCACAGCCTGAAATATCAACCAAGCCTGGGACTTAGGACATACCAGCTTTTTATAATATCTGACATTTTTGACTAAGTTAAAAGCCAACCCCATATCTCAGATAAAATAATGACTATGCACATACTTTTGGAAATATGTGGTTCACTCCCCCTTTACTTGAAAGGCAAGTTCCTACAAGTAAGGAGATGGGGCTAGGAATCATATGTAGTAAAGACCATATCTCTTGATAACCCTGTCTTCAAAAGCTGGAAATAATATCTAGCCACAAAGAGCCAGTCTGGGTTTTATGCAACCAAATGTATTTGGCAATTTCACAGCCTATTTCTGCTGGTCTTCATCTGCTCTCCGGACCTACCCTTCCATAACAGTCATGACCAGGAAGTAACCTACCCACTTAGAAACTCCAGTTCTTTCCCCTTAGAACTAAGATTCCACTCACCATCATTTTCTTAAATCCCCAACCTTCCTTCCTATGTCTACACTACCAGCCTATCAGGGCATTGGACCTGCAAACACTTAAACTGTTCCTGCAAGCTCCCCTTGTCATAAAAAAGGTAGACCACTTCTCTGGCCCAAGCAAACGTGGGCACAAAAATCACCCAACTACCTTGCTTTCCACCTCTAAATCCATTTCTCCTTCATGTTGACCTTAAACACTTTTTTTCTAAAGATTAATCTGCCTGTATTTGTCCTCAAGCTATTCTATTAGAGATGTCTAAGATGGGAACCCCCTAGATGGGAGAATGACTATATCTTTTGATATCCCCACAACTAGGTGCACAAAGGCTAATATAGCAATGAAATCGTATGGCTACTCTCTCATTTGTTGATACACATACATGCAAACACACATACACATGCACTGCTGCTGCTTCACCTTCACTCCCAGTTCCCTACCCCAAACACCACCTATCTTCACTCTGCCACCACAGCCACCAGCCACAGACCTAAGCAAGGAAGCAGCCAGGACTGGGATGGAATGTTTGGTGGGATTTGGGAAAGAGGAGAGATTAAGAGTAGGGAATGGTTGCTACCACTGAGATGTAGCAGAAATGAGGCTGGCTATTGTTTGAGAAAAACCTAATGGCCTAAAAGTGTTGGCAACACCTTCCAAAGTAGCTAATGTTCCTAAGGTGCAGTGACCTGGCAGGGTCTGGCTTGGGAAGGACCCAAAGGTGCACACAGGGTCCTGTAACTGCACTGCACAGTTAACAAAGGCAGGTCTCCTCCCCTCAGGCAGCCTGGTGTATACCAGGCAACACAAGACATCAGTGTAGTAAGAGAGGCATTTTTTTCTGAGTGACACTGTCACCTGGTTTTGTTACACTCCTTACAGCTGTGCTGAGGGTAGGGTAAGAGGTAAAATAGTCACCAATTTCCCTATACAGAGGATGGCAGGAGAAGATGGGAGGGGCAAGATGGAGCAAGAAAGGGAGGATGTTCTCTGGGAACAAAGAAGATGAAAAAGAGGCAAGCTCAAGGGAGCAGCTAGAGAGGGCAGGGAGAAGTCAGCAAGAAAGCTTCTCCCATTTATGGGATGCCTTCTAATTTTTCCAAATTAGGTAGGTAAATGAGTAAAGTTATTACATTTGTCCTAAAGTGATAAAATTTGAAGCTTTGGCTCACAAAGATTTTAATGCCCACATAATTCAAAGAAGCATAACCAATGCTGTCTGCACCACATGAAAGGAAGCCGAGGCATTCCCTAAGACGGCCTTGTGAGTAGAAATCAGACAAACCAGGAACGACACTCACATTTCAGAGGGATGTCATTTTAATATTTGAAAGCAGTGTAACGTTCAGCCAATAGGCACTGGTACAACCACACATACTGCTTGTTTACAGCTGGCATCCGTTCTGAGTGGTTGGTGTCTGTCCTGTACCAGTTGTTAAATATTTTGAAAATCATCTCTGTATTAAAATAATTGTGGCCCTAAGAGATAAGGAAATATGAAAGAAACACAGGATTCCTTCAACATTGAAGGTCTGTAGAGTAAGGCTAGAATACATTAATATATTTTAAGAGTTTAAGGAATGCAGAATTCAATAAAGTGATGTAGCCAGCTCTTTCACCTATGAAAGGAGGATATGCCAGGGGAACTTCCCACTGTACAAAGACTTTCCAGGATGGAAAACTAGTATGATTATATTCCCTGGGTGCCAACGGGCTAGCTAGTCACATTCTGTGCACAAAGAAAGGAAAGGTCTACACACACTGGATCCCAAACCCTTGACATTCATTCCATCATAGAAGAGATGAGAAAAATTATAAATGTAGTTTTAAATGAAACACCAAAATTAATTTCACCACTTATAGTTCATTTCCCAGTGTGGCTTTTTACATCTGAGAGCCAGAACATTTGCCAACCAAAAGAAATCCACGGTAATGAGGAAACCACATGGCTGAAGGTGGTTTTGGTCCATTGAACTGATGATGGTTCACTAAGGCAGCTAAGGAGATAGTACATAAGCACTTGGATCTCACCAGGATGGAATCAGAATGTATCTTCAAGAGACAGCAGCAAGATGTCACATAGTCCCACAAAATGGCCAATAAAAACACCATATCCCCCTTTCTACTCACAAACAACTGTTATCAAATCTCTCCCAGATATCTATTATAGAAAGCAGACACTATGACAAATCTTCAGCCCATGAATTCCTTCCTGGTCTCTAAACTAATTCCTTCTGTAGCAATCTAAGCTCATTCTCTTACTCTATCCTCAATGAAAACCTGGAGAAGCTGATCATCCTCACTTATATCATTATTGATTTTCCCTTGAGCCTTTTCCTATCTTAAACAACTCCAGTGTCCCTCTTGGCCCTTGTATCAACCAAGGTTCTCACTGAGTTATGCAGGCCACTGCTAGGGAGTGATGAAGACGCAGCCAGGTTAGAGGCGTCTTCCTGGCTGTGGTGGTTGGCACTGCCAGTGCCTGAATGCTGACCCTCCTGGTAGCAGACCCCTGACAACCTCTGGGTGTGACCAGCATCCCCCATGGTAAGCAATCAAACCACAGCCCAGGGCTGCCTAGGGGCCTGCAGCCACTAACAGGACTGGAGAGCCTTCCCTTTTCTCTCTGTTCTTCTCCTGCTTCCCCACCCCACCCTTTAGGAAGAGGGACCTCACTGAAGGAATCCTCAGTGGCAGAATGGACCCGTATGGCTCAGCAGGCCAACAGAGAGTTCACAGAAAATGTCTGGAAAATGGGAAGCTAGATCTTCAATGGTGGCAGCTCTGAAGAGAAAAAGAAGGAAGAGGAGGAGAAGAGCCAGTAGGAGGCGGTCTTCTGCTTCCACATTCATATCTGATGACTAGCTGCTGGTAGGCGGGTAGCTGGATGCCCTCCAGTGCACATCAAGAATAACTGAATGCTTCCGCATGGCTTTGAGATGACCAAGGACAAGGCTGGTCTTGCTTCTTCTCTGAGAGACTCGCCATTTTCTCTGTAATCAGAACTTCCCTGAGGCACCTCATGGCCCAAATCTTCCATCCCAGCAAAGACTTAGTTGAAGAGACTGAATAAAAGTGTTACAATTAGACAAAAAGGGAACACATGATTCATTCCTGCTTTTAACACAATACTTTGAAGATGTCACCACAATTTGGATCTGGCTATATTTTAAGTTCATTTACAAGTAGACTAGTTCTTAACTAAAAATAACCATGTGTGTTATACATTTCGACAGCTGCCTGGATTTTCCTCTGAAGGAAACAAGATTCTATATTTCACTTACATTCAGCACAGATTTATTTTAACCCATTCGATGAAGCGATAAAGTATCACTCCCACCCACTGGTGGCTGTGACTTTTCCAAGCACTTCAGTTTCTCCTCAGAGCAGACTCAGGAGTGAGGCAGTTAGTTGTTATTATCTCCTCCTCACTGCCGAGCAAACTGAGAGCCAGAAACTGTGGTCTGCTAAGTTATCTGTGGAATTAATAGCAGGACAGGTCTCCTGATTCCAAGCTTTTCTTAATAATGAGAAAAGTTGACTTTAATGAGCTCTCACATTTTTTTTTTCCTTCAGTTATTTGACTACTTAGATGGTGTTTGGACTAAATTATTCAAGTAATTTGGGCACATAGCCTACCTCAATGCAGGCAAAGATGCCTCAAGTCCTTCCATTTTCTTCATTAACCTGATTAAAATTGATCTATGCCATTAGCAAATGATATACAGAATTTAGTTTACAAAATAAGAAAACAGTTACAATTTAATATTTCAAAATCTTTACTTTCATTATGGAACAAGTTAAAGAATGTTTCAATACTATCAACACTATCTGAATGTTTCAGCAATTTTCCAGTTTGCAGTTTCCAGGTTGCAGTAGCCAGAGAGATGCCCTTTAGATTTTGAATGAGAATTAGAAAGAAGATTAAGAGGACTAAATAGATAAAGCAAATTTACATCCCAAAATAATTCTATCCTGACTTTGGACCTGTATAAATGGGCCACTCAAAACAGCCTATTCAAATATTTAGAAAACATTTTTACTTTTCTTACTTTTATAGCTATTCTTGTAGGGTTAGTGGCAGTCCTAGAGATGCTACTTATTAGATAAATTAAATTTCACAACTAAAATAGATTTTACCTTCAACATTATTGCCATTTTCAAAAGCCAGAAATAAAAAAAAAAATAAGAAGTTATAATTCTCTTTACCTCTTTTCCTTTGTATTTCCAGGATTCATACTGAGAGCTTTCCAGACCGTGGTTTTAGGCATTTCATCAGATATATTAATCTCAGAGGGGTCACATCTGAAATCAATGCTTAGGACAGTGAATATCAGACACCCAAGTAAAATACATATCTTGGTCTATAATGACCACCACCCCACCAGGAGGGAAAAGACTGGGTCTGAGGGATCAAAGCCAACAGTTCTAAGGAGCTCTGGGAACCAAGTGGAGTCTGGTCATTCTTCTGTAGCCACTGAGGTTGGAATGGGAAGAGTCAAGGTAGCCCATGAGGAGGTGCTGAAGGCTGGGCTGGTGTGCCAGGTGGCAGCCAGTCCCACTCCACAACTGTGCACTCCTCCAAAGGGCCACACTGGAGATGTGATGGCTATGCTGCCAACAGTGTAGCATCAGGAGCTACCACTTACTGAGTGCTTGCGGTATGCCAGGCACTCTTCATCCATTTTTCCCACTTATATGGCCAAATCTCTTCCATTTGTAGTTCACAAATGACTTTCATAATAGATTATCTTAACTATCACAGCAACAGAGATTATTAACATCCTCATTGTGAAGGTGCAGAACCCAAAGCTTACAAGGCTTAGTGACCATCCAAGTTCAAAGAATAGCAAATTCCAAGTCAACTCCTTGAACCTAGTCCTTGGTCTCCTAGAGTCCCAGAGTACTGTGAAGTTTTCTGCAAGTGAGATGGTCTCCTAAAATGCCAAGAGAGGTGGCAGCATCCTGCTCCTACTTTGGCACCAGATAATCCAAAGCCTATGGCTCCTTCTATAATAACTTGTAGAATTTATTAAGGACCAAAGAAAAAGACTTTCCCAATTTCCCCTGCAGAATAAACCACAACCAACTCAATGGTTCAGCAGTAAATTCTTCAGGATCTAGAGTACCCAGATCCCCTGCTCTCTTCCTTTGCTGCCTCATCTTAAACTCTATGCTCTTTCAGCCTGTGTGTACCTCTCCCAGTGCAGAAACGAGACACCAGGAGCAAAACCACAAATGGACAAATTTAGCTTCCTGTGATTGGTGGTGAGGAATAGGTTTGATAGAGAAAGAGGCTAAAATCACTGGCAAAAGTAAGGAATTTTTGTGATCCCAGTTCAGTTCCCCCTTGGCTCCCAGGACTATAGATGCCACAAGTCAAGCTAAAATAAACTGTCTCTGCCTATCCCCAAAAGCTTGCCTAAGCATGGGAATTTTCAAGGCTGAGAACTCTCTGAAAATAAAGACCATATCCTACTCATTGTTGGAAGGTGTCAAACAAAGGCAGAAGAAGCACTGGTTTGAGGACTAGACAGACTAGGGTTTGTATCTTAATCTTTCTATTTAGCAGCATTGTAACCTTGGGTAAATTACCTAAAATCCTGTAGGCCTCAGTTTCCTCATTTGTACAAATATGGATAGTGAGACTCATATCAGAGAACTGTTGTACAGAGTAACTGAGAGCACATAAATAAACCTTCCAGCACAATCCTGGCCCAGAGGAGGCATTCAGCACTTGGGCTGCCTCTCCCCTCCTCTCCTTGTGATTCCCAGCACCTGGTATAGTGCCTGGCACGCAGAAGGCACTCAATAAACAATGAAATGCAAAAGGTGTCTTCACAGGGAAAAACTTGGAGGCTCTTTTTACCAGCAGCTGCCTTTATGACAGCACCTCTACCACAAAGCCAGAACGTTTATAGAATAATCCAAACAGTAAATTCCTTGGTGTTTTGGGAGTTTTACCTGAAACTGTTGTTCTTTCCAGGACTACTTAGTAACTTCCTGCTCTCTAAGGGGAACTTGTCTGCCCCCATTTCTAACATCTTTTCAGCCTCCTATAAGAAAAGGAAACATTATTATATCTTAGACCAAGTAAGATCATGAGTCTCCACCAGCCCATTCTTCTACCACCATGATTTCTATCTAATTTCCTCTCACATTTATTATAAAATAACATAATTAGGATCTTTCATAGATTTGACTCATCACAAAATGAGATACAACCAGATATTTGTACATGGGGAATAGTACTGGGAAAAGAAAAAAGAACCTGAATCTGAATAAACCTAGAGCTAATGACCAGTTTACTGAAAATACAGGGGATAGAAGAGCATGTTAAACGACACCAAGGGACACATTTAGCAAAATCCAAATGGTGGAAAACCCTGGGCAGGGGTCCTCAAATTACAGCCCGCAGGCCACATGTGGCCCGCCCAGGACATTTATCTGGCCTGCAGGGTGTTTTTGCGGCCGCTGCCTGTCCTGCAGCCAACTCATCCCGGGCCCACAGTGCTCATGTGTGGAATGTGTGCCACACTCTCCAACAGCCCTAAAGAGATTTAAGAAAGATCTCAACAAATTGTAATATGTGGCCCTTGATTATTAAAAATAATAAGGTGACAATTGAGGAAATATGAATATTAACTTTTCTTTCTACTTTTGTATGTTTGAAATAATCTGTAATAAAATGTTTTCTTAAAAAATCCCACTAATTTAAAGAAAATAATTAGAGAGAAAAAAATACATACAAAGATGTTTAAAGTAGTATAAGTAATAATAAAACCTAAACCAACTAAAATTCTTAACAAAAGAATATCTAAATTAAATATTTAAATTAAATAATACGAGAGATTATATATCCATTAATACAATAAATATAATTATATAGATACCTAGAAACATGAAATTGTCTTATGAAATCAATTTGAGGGAAAAATGAGAATATATATACAATACTATATAGATATATATATATACACACAAATATACAATTATTACAGTTATATGAAAACTATGTTAAGGATTTGAAAGGAACATAAACAAACATGAATGTTGGATGTTGAGGTGGTAAAATTTTTTTGTGTTAAGTCTTCATCTTTTTCTTAATTTCATTTAGCTTTTAAAATAATTTTACAAAGTAACACATGTATTAAGAAATACATGCTTACTTTAGAAATTTTGGAAAATAAAGAGTATAATGTCTACCAGCCACCTTTTTTTCCCTAGTTTTTAAAATTTCAGCATATTATGGGGGTACAAATGTTAAGGTTATGTATATTGCCCATGCCCCCCCGTCCCCCTCAAGTAAGAGCTTCAAGCGTGACCATCCCCCAGACGTTGCATATCTCACTCATTATGTTTGTATATGCCCATCCCCTTCTCCCCCCTCCCATCCTCCCGACACCCAATAAATGTTACTCCTATATGTCCACTTAGGTGTTGATCTGTTAATACCAATTTGCTGGTGAGTACATGTGGTGCTTGTTTTTCCATTCTTGAGATACTTCACTTAGTAGAATGGGTTCCAGCTCTATCCAGGAAAATACAAGAGGTGCTATATCACCATTGTTTCTTAAAGCTGAATAGTACTCAGTGTGTATAGTATGGTATGGTAGTATGGTATACATATACCACATTTTATTAATCCACTAATGTATTGATGGGCACCTGGGTTGTTTCCACACCTTTGCGATTGTGAACTGTGCTGCTATAAACATTCAAGTGCAGGTGTCCATTTTGTAGAGTGTCATTTGATCTTTTGGGTAGATGCCCAGTAGTGGAATTGCTGGATCAAATGGTAGATCTACTTGTATTGCTTTAAGGTATCTCCATATTGCTTTCCACAGAGGTTGAACTAGTTTGCAGTCCCACCAGCAGTGTAGGAGTGTTCCTATCTCTCTGCATCCATGCCAACATTTATTGTTTGGGGACTTTTTGATATAGGCCATTCTTACTGGAGTTAAGTGATATCTCATTGCAGTTTTGATTTGCATTTCCCTGATGATTAGAGATGTTGAGCATTTTTTCATATGTTTGTTGGCCTTTATTCTGTCTTCTTTTGAAAAATTTCTGTTCATGTCCTTTGCCCACTTATTGATAGGGTTGTTTGATTTTTCCTTGCTGATTTTCCTGAGTTCTAAATAAATTCTAGTTATCAGCCCTTTATGGGATGTGTAGCTTGCGAAAATTTTCTCCCATTCTGTGGGTTGTCAGTTTGCTCTCTTGACAGTTTCTTTGGCTGTGCAGAAGCTTTTTAATTTGATCAGGTCCCATTTATTTATTTTTGTTGATGCTGTGATTGCCTTTGAGGTCTTCTTTATAAATTCTTTGTATAGGCCAATGTCTAGATGAGTATTTCCAACGTTTTCCTCTAGGATTCTAATAGTTTCACACCTAATGTTCAAGTCTGTTACCCAGACTGAGTTGATTTTTATGAGAGGTGAAAGATGTGGGTCCTGTTTCAGTGTTCTGCATGTGGCTATCCAGTTTTCCCAGCACCATTTATTGAATAAGGATTCTTTTCCCCAGTGTACGTTTTTATCTGCTTTGTTGAAGATTAGTTGGCTATATGAGGATGGTTTTATATCTGGGTTCTCTGTTCTGTTCTACTGGTCAATGTCCCTGTTCTTGTGCCAGTAAAAAGCTGTTTTAATGACTATAGCCTTGTAGTAGTTTGAAGTCTGGTAAATTGATACCTCCTATTTTGTTTTTATTGTCTAGGATTGATTTTGCTATACGGGGTCTTCTCTGGTTCCATATGAAGTGTGAAACTATTTTTTCTATATCTGTGAAAAATGATGATGGTATTTTAATAGGGATTGCATTGACTCTGTAGGTCACTTTGGGTAGTATAGACATTTTAACAATGTTGATTCTAATGACCCATGAGTATGGTATATTCTTCCACCTGTTTACGTCCTCTGCTATTTCTTTTTTCAGTGTTTCATAGTTCTCTCTGTAGAGGTCTTTTACCTCCTTACTTAAGTATATTCCTAGGTACTTTATTTTCTTTGTTGCTATTTTGAAGGGAATTGAGTCTTTAATTTGGTTCTCACTGTTGTTGGCGTATTTGAATGCCTCTGATTTCTGTGTATTGATTTTGTATCCTGAGACTTTACCAAATTCATTTATGAGTTTGAGGAGTCTCTTGTCTACCAGCCACCTTGAATTTAACATCCAAAAGAAATCTCTTGACTTTCCCCAAAACCTGCTTCCTCATCTTAATAAATAGCTCAACCATTCATCCCATTGTTCAGTCAAAAAATCTATGAGTCCTTAACTCCTCTCTTTCACTCATGCCCACCATCCCTTAGCAAAAACCTGGCTGCTCTAACTCTGCCACTTGCAGCACCTCTACCTTAGCCTCAACCACTAGCACCTCTTGCCTCAACTGTTGCCACAGCCTCCTGACTAGTCTCCCGGCTTCCACTCTGACCCTTCCAGCCTCCCTGGCTTTCTCAGTGTTCCTCAAGCACACCAAGCTCATTCTTTTTTTTAAGACTTTTGCATTCTCTATACGTCTGGCTTGGAATGTTCTTACTCCTAGATATTCTCTGATTTTCCCCTCACTTTTTTCAGGTCTCACTTTGCTCACATGTCTCCTCAGAGGAGTCATTTCTAATTGCCTAAATAAAGTAACTCCTTCATCTGTTACCTTCTTAAAAGATATCACTACCTACAATTTTACATATATGTAAAATAAATTTTACATATATATAAAATTATACATATATATGTAAAGTTACAGCATTATAATCAAGTAAACAAATTTATACTTGTTTGCTTGTTTATAGTGTCTCCCCATGAGAATGTAAGCTCCATGAGGTCAGGGACTCTGTCCTTTATACCACTGTGTCCGGAACTGTGAGAACAGAGTAAGCATTCAATAAATATTGAGGAAGGAAGTTAATTAATTAATTAACATATAATCTTACCACCCAGAGAGACAGAGAACCACAACAAACATTTTGTTCTATTTTCTTCTAATCTTTTTCTAATGTGTGTGTATATGTATGTGTACATATATGTAATATGTGTATATGTATTAATAAACTCTTTAATGAAAATAGAGATTCTTATTTTATGTTCTAGTTTATATTCTCTATATTTTTCACATAAAATGTCATAAACATGTCCATATATCATTAAGTATTCTTTAAAATTTAATTTTTAAATTGTACAATATTCTATTTTTTTTTTTTTTTTTGAGACAGAGTCTCGCTTTGTTGCCTAGGCTAGAGTGAGTGCCATGGCGTCAGCCTAACTCACAGCAACCTCAAACTCCTGGGCTCAAGCGATCCTTCTGTCTCAGCCTCCCAAGTAGCTGGGACTACAGGCATGAGCCACCATGCCCAGCTAATTTTTTCTATATATATATATTAGTTGGCCAATTAGTTTCTTTCTATTTATAGTAGAGACAGGGTCTCGCTCTTGCTCAGGCTGCTTTCGAACTCCCGACCTCGAGCAATCCGCCCGCCTCAGCCTCCCAGAGAGCTAGGATTACAGGTGTGAGCCACCGCGCCCAGCCTTCTATTATATTTTTATATATTATTTTTTTGCAGTTGTTTTGCATAACACCATAATTCAAATCTTTTGTCCACATTGCTGATTATGTCCTTGGAATGATTTAAAAATTAGAGTTGCTGGGCCAAAGGGCATATATACTTTTAAGACTCTATAATTAAACTGTTCTCTAAAGAGATTTATGCAACTTATACTACCCATCTTTTGTACATGAGAAGACCATTCCAATTACAGTCTTGTCAACACTGGTTCTTTTTATCTTTTTAAAAATCTTTGCCAATTTGATAAGTGAAAAATGTACTGTCCTTGTTTAAATTTCCATTTCTTTGATTTTTAGTGAGAATGAATTTTTTGTCATAAGGTAATTAGCCATTTGTATTTCTTCTTTTATAAATTATCCATTTCCATTGCACATTTTTATTCCATTATTGTTCTTATTAACTTGTAAGAATTATTGGAATAGTAAGAGTATTAACAAATATCTCAACCCGTCTGTTATTTTAAAATTTTGTTTATAGACTTTTGGATGTCTGAAAGCTTCACATTTTATATAGTGAATTCCATCAATGTTCCCTTTAAAGTTTTCTTCCATTGCTTTTATACTTGTAATTGTTAAAGCTTATTTTAGTAATATAACATTTTTAAAATTCAAGATATTAGGGGAAAATTTTTTAAAATGCATTTTGAAGGACATGGATTTGGGCACTAACTGTATTTGGAAACTCCTCTCAGCTTATTCATATATTGACCTGGTATTTTCATTTTGTTATACATTCTTTCTTTGCAAGTATAGACCACTGATTGAGGGTCCACTGTGTAGACGACAAGGTGCCAAGTGCTAAGGGAAATAAAGAAGGACAGAAAGTCCTGCTCAAGTTATCTTTGCATAGTGCCAACTACAGCACCATCTGCAATTAGATACACAACAAATACCTTAGGAAATAATGGGTTCTATATACTTATTAAATTAGATCTTTTGGAAGAATATGACCCATTGGATCTGATAATAAGAGCAGATTCTATATTCACATTTTAGGTGTGAATCTGATGAGTAAACTGTAGATAAAACAAAGGAAAAAACACTGGTTATCATCCAAAAATGAAGGACAGACAGGAGCAAGAATCCTTAATCCATTCTCAGCTGAGAACATCTTTGGGGTAATCTTCCCAGCTCCTAAATATAACCCTTGGGATTCTAGACATGCTGAATTTTCATGTGGCCCTATGTTCTGTAATTTGAGACCCCAAAGTATACAGTTAGTACAAGGACTATGACCTCTTCCTCCTTGGCCTTCTTTTTGGCATCATCCAACTTCTTCTTTTTGCTTTCTGGCATGAGATCATCTAACCAGCTCAACTCTCGCTTAGAGAAGCAGAGATCCATGACTTTCCTGACAAAGACCAGGGCTAAAACCTGAAAAAAAATAAAGAAAGTTAGTTAAAGGGACTAATTTTCTTTCTGGAGTTAAAAGCAAAATCTTAATTTTACAACGGACTAGGACATTGCAAGCAAAATCAAACTCATAACAATCATAATAGTTGTCATATATTGAATGCTCTTTGTGCCAGATACCCAGGTAAGTGTTTTAGACACAGTATTTTAACTAACATAACAACTCTACAACTTAGAGAACAACTAATTTAATTCCCTCATTGAAAAGAGAAACCCCTCATCTGCAGATGGCTCACAGACAGCAGGAAGGGCTACAGGGCAGCAGTGGGTGGACAGCCTCTGCAGGGGCCCAGCCATGGCAGGGGTTACCCAAACCCAGCCCAAGCCTGCTTCACCAGCAAGTGGACGATGGGACCTTGGAGGACGGTCTTTATTCCCTGCTGCTTTTCCTGTACCTTCCCCTCTTCCCCAAATTCTTGCTTTATCCTGCATCATGCATCTCTAGTGGTTTTTGTCTCTGCCCTCTGGCCTGGTCTGACACTCACTTTATAGATGAAGAAACTGAGACCCAGAGAGAGGAAGTGACTTGCTAAAATCTGACAGCTAATTTGCCCAATGGAGACAGGTCCAGCGTGTCTCAACTGCTGCTCCACTTTCTTTCTATGAGGGCCATTTTAGCCAAAGGGGAACCCATAATAACCAAGAAGTACCTGCTTTGGTTGACTGGTGTTCACCAGCTAGACAAGGAATGAGGCAAATCTGGCTTATTAAATTTAACCACATTTCTATCTAATTTTAGTGACTACTTTCCTAATACATCCAAAATTGATAGGATTCCTTCCAGGAGAGTTCCTAGGAATTTTCTACATCTTTAACCAAACACTCAGTCTCTGAAAGTAACACATAAATGCAGAGCCTTATATGTATTCTGACAAAATTGAGAAAACTCACCAGGAGGGTATGGATCTAGGAGATTAAAAAATTAAAAATAGAATTACCATATAGTCTAGCAATTCCACTCTTGGTATATACCCAAAAGAACTGAAAGTAGGAATGCAGACAGATATTTGTACACCCATAATCACAGTAGCATTATTCACAATAGCCAAAAGGTGAATGCAACCCAAGTACCCATAGACAGATGGATGGGTAAATAAAATGTGGTATATACATACCATGGAATATTATTCAGCCTTAACAAGGAGGGAAATTCTGACACATTCTACAAGATGTATTATCCTTAAAGACAATGTGCTAAATGAAATAAGCCAGTCACAAAAGAACAAATACCATGTGATTCGAATTACAAGAGGTACCTAGAATAATCAAATTCATAGAGACAGAAAGTAGAGTGATGGTTGCCAGGGGTGAAGGGAAGGGGAGAATTGGAAGATAGTGTTTAATAGGTACAGAGTTTCAGTTTTGCAAGATGAAAAAAGTTATTATAAAAAGTTATAGAGATGGATGGTATAAATGGTTCTACAACAATGTGAATGTATTAATATTTAATGCCCCTGAACTGTACTCTTAAAAATGGTTAAAATGGTAAATTTTACACTATTTTACCACAAAATTAAAATAATTTATATATATAGACAAAACAAAACCTTACCATCATTGGGAAAACAATGGCAGCTGGAGATGCCTTGATGACCCAGAGCAGGACGAGGCAGGTCAGCTGGATGAGGGTGAAGAGGTGCACTTTACGCAGCGGCACGTGCCGCAGGTAGATAAAATCCGGCTGGTGCTTTGCAGGCATCCCAAAGAGCTTCAGGCGATCAAAGAACTGAAAGGAAACAGCTGGCATTTATTTTCAGGTGACTTCTCTGACCAGAAATCTTGTCAGACCCATTCATGTCTCTTGTATCACCTACTCTGAAGGGTAGGTAACACTGTTTCCACTAGACATACATGGAAACTGAGTCTCAGAAGGAACGGGTAATTTGGCCAAGGTTGGTAAGTGGCAGAGTCAAGATTCAAATCCATCTTTTCTTATTATAGGTTCAAACACCTTTCTCCTATTTGACACTGTGGCTCCCAAGAGAGCTCCTTCTCAGGGAGTGTTGAAAACAAAATAAGTAGGCTCACGCCTGTAAGTAATCCTAGCACTCTGGAAGGCTGAGGTGGGAGGATCACTTGAGGTCAGGAGTTCGAGACCAACCTGAGCAAGAGCGAGAACCTGTCTCTACTAAAAATAGAAAGAAATTAATTGGCCAACTAAAAATACATATAGAAAAAATAAGCCGGGCATGGTGGCACAGCTACTTGGGAGGCTGAGGCAGAAGGATCGCTTGAGCCCAGGAGTTTGAGGTTACTGTGAGCTAGGCTGACACCACAGCAGTCTAGCCCGGGCAACAGACCGAGACTCTGTCTCAAAAAAAAAAAGAAAGAAAGAAAACAAAATAAGCCAGTTGCAAAACCAAATCTCTTACCTGTTCTTTGAGGATCTATTCATTGATTATTTATAGTGAAATGAAACCTCATAATATTCTGGATATAGAAAAATATGATCATCCTTATATTATAAAAAGGAAAACAGAGACCGAGAGATTAAATACCCTGCCCAAGGTCACATTAGAACTCAGTTTATAAGAATGACTGCTGGATATTCAGTACAAAGAATAAGCCTAAGTGATTTATTAATATTTGATAAGTTATTTTATTATCTGGAGTACCCAAGTTGTTGACAAGCTCCTGATTTTCTCTGTTTGAAGGACTCAGAGGAATGAGTTGCTGGGTGGGAAAAGGCAGAGTATAACAGGAAGTGACATGTGTTTACCTGGAGGAACTCCCACTACTCCCCAATCTCTTCTGCCAGCGTACTCCCAGAATCAAACTCCCCTCTCTCATTCTTTAGCCTGGCATTAATCCTGAGGTGTCCATGGGTGAAAGGCAGTTTGGTTCTTGACCAACCTTTCTGATCCAAGTTTACCAGCACCTGGCCAAGCACCCAGTGTTTAATATGTGCCAAATAATTGTCTTTTGAATAATTAATGAATGACTGGAACCATGACATCATGCCAGGCCACCCTGAAGTCTCTGAACTCTCATGCCAACAGGACTGTATTTTGCCCCATATCCAAAGAAATGTCTAAAATAGCCTAACTGGAGAGGCTAGGAAATAATTTCTCAGAAACTGTGCTTCCCTTGGGGAGCTGCCCCTCCCTGGACAGGACAGGTGAATTCACAGTGATACGACATTGCCCTAGCTGAAACATACCATACCTGAATTCCTTGTAGTGAAGAAACTCCCATGTAGAGGAAAACTCCATAGAGAACTGGCATTGGAATAAACTGGAGAGCAAAGGGCAAAAGGGCCAGAAATTAAATTTGGTATCACAGCACACTAAAGACTAGACTATATAAACTTTTAAATCTCTAAAAATGAAATAAAGCCACTATAAACATTGTATTAATTTCTGCTGCCTTTACACGATTTACAAGTAGAAGCGAAAGCAGAACCTGACAACAATAAAATCATTTTGTTCTGAAGTGGAATGAAATGTAAACTAAATTGTAAGCCTCATATATCACCCCTGTCTGGCTATTCCTTCTCCATGGGGATGGGGAGACAGACAGACGGACACACCCAAACACTTCTTTTATGGAAATGATGCCTTTAAATCTATAATCACACAATTATCTCCTCAGGGATTTGGTGTATTTTAACATGGACTAAAAAAAGTTTCCTTTCTTTTTTACTGAGCAGAGACTTGAGGACAGGAGTGGGGAGATATCTTATCAGAGAGGGAATGATCGGGGGGAGATACTAATATTATTATAGTGCACTTTAATATGTACACAGCACTTGAATAAGACTGTCCCTTCACATCCCAGGCAATCTTCAGAGCAACTCTGAGGTACGGAAATGGGGTTTATAGAATCAAGGCAAGGAAAGACTCATAGCTGAAGACTAAATTTGACTCACTTTCACTCTGGGCCTAGAGAACATTCCCAAACATAATTCCTCTCAGAATTAGAAAATCCCCATTGGATTTTATGTTGTTCCAGCTGTAGGGTGACTAGACATCCTAATTCAGTGATAACCTTGTTTGCACAACTATTGACTGGTGTCCTAAAAGAATCCTCCTGAGACACTTATAGGAAGGCCAGGTGCTGGCTTCGTTATATTCTTGGGACCCTCCAGATGGCACCTAGGCCGGGGGGGGGGGGAGAGGGAGTTGGGCTGGGGACAGTGCATAGAAGGAGGTAAGGAGCATGAGGAGAGGTGAGTGGCAAGCATGAGTGGAACATGAGGGGACAGGATGATGGTTCAGAAATCTTTACCATCCCTCTTAATTCTCATCCGTGACGAGAATCCGCAGCGCAGCCTGGGCTGGTTGAAGATTTGCTAAAAGAGGGAGAAATGACGCAGTGCTCCAGCATGGCTGAGGCCTGGCAATACAGCCATAGAGCTTTCCTTTTCACCCCACTTTCCTGGATGCAGGCCTTACACCCACAGAAAAAAAAAATTTCTCATGTTCAATGTATCTTCCATCTTTACAAAAAACCCTCTTTTAGCCCCACTTCTCACACCAGCCACTGCCATTTTTCTGTTCTGCTTCACTGAAAAACCTCTGGAAAGAGTTGTCTGCACACGTACTCTTTATTGCCTCATCTCCTCACGCTTCAGCCATCTGTAAGTGGACTTCTGCCCTTTAGTTCCACTGAATTCCCTCTCCCATAAGATACCTTCCCACTCCTGCCCTCAAGTCTTTGGAAATTTTTTTAGTCCATGTTAAAAATTTACCAAATCCCTCAGGAGATGATTGTGTGATTACAGAAGATTTAAAAGGCATCATTTCTGTAAAAGTGTGGGTGTGGGTGTGGGGGAGTGTGTCTATCTGTCTGCCTGCCCATCCTCAGGGAGGAAGAAGAGCCAGACAGTGGCGAGATGTGAGACCTATGATTTAACTTAAGTGTGTTATCATTTCATTTTAGAACAAAATGATTTTAATCATTGTTAGCTTCTGCTTTTGCTTTTACTTCTAAATCATAGAAATGCAGGAGAAGCTAATGCAATCCACTGAACCTGCTCTTGCCAAGTCACATTATGCCTCCATGTTGCTAAATCCAATGGTCTCGGTTTAGTCTTCATCTTTCTGGACAGCTTCTAACCAATTGCTCCTTCTTGAAACACTCCCTTTGTTTGGCTTCCCTGACACCACACCCTCCTGCTTTCCCTCCTACCTCTCTGGCAGCTCCTTCTGAGACTCTGTTGCTGTTTCCTCCTTTACAAACTAGCCTCTAAACCCTGCTTTTCTCTCTGGTCCCTCTTCTCTTTAATATCTACCCTTCTCCCTGAATCATCTCATCTACTCCCTTGGCTTTCAATATCTCCTTTATGCTGCTTACTCTCAAATTTATATTTTAGTCCAGAACCCTCCTCTAGCCTCCTCACCCAGACATCTCACTCAAAATCTGATCACAGCCCCATGCCTCACAAAATCATACAGTCTTCTACATCTTTATAAATGCCAACACTCTCCACTAGATAGAGTCAGAAACCTGAAAGGCTTCTTTAATTTTTGTATTTTCCTCACCCCCATTCCACATCTAGTCAACAGCAAGACTTTGGGATCTGCCCCCCAGGAAGCCATGCCCTTTCATCTGTCCCTGCTGCCAACTTCCTTATTCAAGCTGCCATCATCTCTCACCTGTGATCCTCAATGGCCTCTCTGCTTCTATCTTTCCCCAGTTCTAAAAACTTATTCTCTAGACATCAACCAAAGTGATCTTTTGGGAATACTAACTGGATCATGTCCCTCTCCTGTTAAAACCCTTCAAAGGTGACTTTCACCACTGTCAACAAGGCCCTACATGATCTGCCCCTCCCCACTCTTCCATCTCATCTCACTGTGCTCTTGCCTTGACTCAACATCCTTGAGCCACAAGGCCCTGATATTTCCTAAAACACATTATCACTCTTTCCCTCCTCAGGGCCTGACTAGACGGCTTTCCTCCCCCCCCTGCATGCTGGCTCCACTTCATCTTAAATGCCATCTCCTCAACAAGGCCTTCTCTAACTACCCTAACCAAAATGGAACCCTCTTAATTTTCTGTGACACCAGAGAACACTGTATATTTCCTTATCACATTCTGCAATTATCATGTTTGTTTTCTTAACTAATTTTCTTAATCCCTTATCTGTCTTACCCTCCTAGAATAAGCTCTTTCAGGGCAGGGATTTGTATGTATATCAGTTTGGCGCCACTGTATTCCCAGCACCTAGCAGGATTCCTGGCACGAATCAAGCATTCAGTATTTTCCTAACAAGTGAAAGGAATAATTACCTTTAAGATAGCTGTCATGAAGACTGAGCACCCCATCAGCACAAAAATCATAAGGCCTGTCACTCTCTGTTCTCGGATGCCCAAGAACTTGGGCTGTTCTCCAGGAGCAGAGCATTCAGATTCCAGCTTGAGGCTGTTCACATGTGTAATGGATAGGACAGTTGCAGCCACAAACCAGGGCAGGCCCATGATGGAGCAGACACCCAGCATGATGGCCACCATCAGTAGGTCCAGGTGGTAGCCACAGCCTTTCTGTGGGGAAACAGAGTCTCTGTCACCATCAGTAGGTTGGCTGCAGTGGGGCATAGAACAGTGGGCTAAGGTTCTCACGTCCAAAGTAGAAAGGGGTTTATGGGTAAGAAGGAAGGAGTCCAGAGATCCCAGAGAAGTCTTATAGTCCCTCCAGGTTTGGAAGAAACAAGAAAAAGGAAAATCTCGTCCTATATATGCCAATATCTATTCTTTATCCAAGTGCCCCTAGTTTACTCCGAGTCTCATATATTCAAAGATCCATTCTTCCCTGGAAGAGAAACCAGAGACCAATCCACATTATGACCATTCTAGATGGCAGATACTATAGGAGTTGGGAATAAGTGTCTTTATTGAGTTCCTATAACAACCCCAGATCGTTGCCAGATTTGGATGTTGCCTACTCTGCTACCTCCCTAGGATCCTTGGGATCAAGGTTCAGTCTGAAAACCCTGGTAAGGGACACACACCAATGGGACAATACCTGCCTCTAGGAAATAGTGGCTCAGGCCCTGATTTGAACCTCAGAAAGACAAGCTATACAATTGCCTGACTCAGAGCATGTAGCTATAGAGGGATCACTAGCAACTCTGCCCAACCACCTGCCCACAGGTAGAGAGGATGGTAATGGAGTCTAAGCTTCTTTCACATCACACTACCATGCTCCACTTTAGTCTCATCTCCAAACCAATCTTTGTTATTAATGGAGAGAATGGAAACCCCACTGAGCCCTTTCTATGACTGTTTTAATCCAGGTTCTAAAGTTCCTGGTCTCGATGGGTTTACCCTAAAATTAAAAAATGTAACAGGTTGCCGTAACAGTCTTCTAGGGCAGAAACTCTTTGTTACCTTGAGCTTATGTTCCTTCCTGTTAATGATGACAGCTGTGATCTGCTGGTCCATGAATATCAAGATAGTGCAGAGAAGAGCTGGAATAATTGCAGCTATCACAGTCCACCAGGGATTGGGACCAATGGGACTAATAATCCACCCTCGATCATCCCTTGTTGGCTAGGGGGAAAAAACAAGGCATTATTTTTGTATTTTAAATTAACTATAGTCAGAAGCAGATCAAACTGAATCACAATATTCATATTTCTTTGTATTCTTGTATAAGAATCCTTTAAAAAAAAAAAGGCCTGAAATACAGCAACTCCTTAGGAAATCTATGATCTTCTTCCAAATCTCCTTTTTTTGTTGTTGTTGTTTGTTTGTTTGTTTTGAGACAGAGTCTCACTTTGTTGCCCAGGCTAGAGTGAGAGCCATGGCATCAGCCTAGCTCACAGCAACCTCAAACTCCTGGGCTCAAGCAATCCTGCTGCCTCTGCCTCCCAAGTAGCTGGGACTACAGGCATGCGCCACCATGCCCAGCTAATTTTTTCTATATATATATTAGTTGGCCAATTAACTTCTTTCTATTTATAGTAGAGACGGGGTCTTGCTCTTGTCAGGCTGGTTTTGAACTCCCGACCTTGAGCAATCCGCCCACCTAGGCCTCCCAGAGGGCTAGGATTACAGGTGTGAGCCACCACGCCCAGCCCAAATCCCCTTTGAAACAGTCAATCCTCAATGATCAACTTGTTGTGGAATATTCATTAATGCTGCCCTCTCCAGAAGCCATGGAATGTGTGTCTACAGCACAAATAAAGGCAAAGTGGAGCCAGCTGCATAGACTCTCTTAGGCTTAGATTGGATTGTTCCAGGGACCCTCTCCCAATAGCAGTAAGTCAGAGGCCCAGGCACCAGAGACTTGAGAAGGAGCCCAAACTGCTAAACTTGGGCAATTGTTTGACCTAGGACCCTCTTCAATGCCCCTGTAAAACAACTGTTTATAAATCTTATTGGGATGTTCATGACATACCTAAACTCTCCTAGATCCTCAACTTACCCTTTCCCCACCCCACCCAATGTACTCTGGAGAAGACAAGTTTACCTTTTTTGGCAAGTGGTACTGGAAGATAAAAGGCCAAACTGATCCAGAATTGACCAAAGTCAATGAACAAAGACTGTCGTATCTGAAGCATTGGTTTCCATATTAGTCATAACTCTAGAACTCAAAGGCTTTACAATAACACTACCAAATCCCAAATTATGAATGGGTTAGCTTCTAAAAGTTTACAGAATCTATGTTTCCTTAGTAACAATGTTCTAAGTGGTAGTTCTCAGACTAACACAAAAACTTCTTAAACCCTTAATGACATTATAACCCCTACTAATAGTACTAACCTTCAGATTGGGTCTTAGGAGCTGGGAACCATACGATATAATAGGGAAGGGAAAAAAGAAAAAGATTTCATCTCTGTCTACTGAAAGTGGAGCCTGCCAAGAGCAATATTTTCTTTGACATTCTCCCATTTCTGTTTTTTCTCTCTCTCCTACCTCCCAGAGGCCTTCTGCCCAGATGTACCAGAAATTCAGTTCCTCCTGACTATCTTAAACCTACCCATCAGGGAAACTTTACAAGGACTGCTTAATGCTTTCAAATTACCTATTTTACACAAAATCTATTCCTCCTTCAGTGCTGGCCTCAGCTAGGTGTTAGAGAGAAAGCTGATTGTGCTCATTCACACAAGGTGAGAATGTCATATTCTCAGAAATATTATATTAATACTTGTAGGAGGGTGTTTGTTAATTCATAACCTTCTAACTAGTGGCATTTCAATAAATTTAACAAAATTAAAAATTTCAGACCATGTGGAAAAAGATAACCAGGCCTACTTTAGGGACACAGAGAGAAAAGAGAAAAGGAAGACCAAGGCCAGCTGTATGGGGGCATTTACAAGTCAGGGATTACCTTTATTCCTGTCTGTCTTCTCCTCACCTCTCCCATCTTATTTCATAATTCTTTGCAAGCCCCTGAGTATGCCCATGTTTTCTCTCCTTTCTACCTTACAGGGATCTATAGAACTGAGCTTAGCTCTTCTATCTTTTTTTACTCAGTGTCCCCAGACTGAACAGATTTGAAGTTCCCATGTATTGATCATTTGTTTTACTTTTTGTACAGGTTTTTTGAAAAACACTATAGATTATAGAGAGTTATAGAAACAGACAACACAATAGGGTTGAAGAGATGTCATGATTACTCCCAGCAAGGGTCCTAGACTCCTGCTGAGGTCCCCCTTGGTTCCACTTCCCTCCTACACAGCAGCATCCTTCAGGGGAGGGCTGAGTCCTTTACCTTCCCAGTGTCCCCATACAGTGGATACTCGGTGAGTTAACAAGTAACTCAGTGCTATTAACAAGACTTGTTCTCGGGACCCATGTTTCCATAGTATCTGGTATATATTTATGTAAATGTACACATTCTATTGTTTTAAATCTTAACATATTAAAAACAATAAGTGGTATTAACAATACAAAAGACTTTTCAACCATTCAGCAACCTTAGTTTCTCTGTTCTCTGACTCTTCTGGCTTGAACTCAGCCAAGCCTGAAGAGTTGCTTTTCTGAGTGGCAAGGTGTGAAGAGCAGGTTTGGATTTAGAGGAATGCATAATACAACTCATCTTATGATTTGGATATGGAAAGGTGTTTTAAATCAACTGGGGACCAGATTCTATGTAACTGCATGAATACACCAAAAACCCTGAGATCTGTTTACCTTGAACACACTGGGAACTTGAAGCTTTGGCGATGGGACTCCAATCAAAAAATCAATAATCACCATTGTGAAGATAGTGAGGAAAACTGCAAAGTCACTCACCATGGAGCGTACCTACCATGAAAAGGAATTAGAAAAATGTTTTAGAAAGTTAAATATAGTAGAAAAGAATTCAGTATTGGAAAAAGTTTTAAAATCCTCAGAAGAATTTTTTTCATTTTGCAGTGGAATTAATGCAAGCATATTTAAGCAACAGGAATATATTAACACACCCAAATTAATACCCATAAAGTATGAATATGATAAAAGAGAATAAACCCTCTGACAAACTCTAATGTAACTCAGCCCAACCCCTGATAAGTCCTGTTTGGGGCACTTAGGGCCAGGTTCGAGCTCTAGTTCTGAGCACTTGGAATTATACCCTTGGACCAGCCAGGGTTCTTAGCACTAGCCAAAATCTCAGCAGCAGTATCAACTCCACTTCTCCCCCATACCCAACACCCAATCTATCTGCAAATCCTGTTGGCTCTGCCTTCAGAACATATCCAGAATCTGAGCACTTCTCACCACCACCACTCCCATCCAGATCACAGTCACCATCAGCTCATGTTTGGGTGACTGAAGCATACTCCCAACTTGCTTCTGCCTTTGACCTCTTCAGCTTTCTAATGTAAAACACAAGTTGTATCATGTCACTCCTCTACCAAAACCCTGAAATGGCTTCAGGTTTCACTGACTTAAAAACCCAAAAAGCCTTCTTGGCCTGAGGCCCACACAACTGGCATCATCACCTCTCCCAGCCCCGATCCTATTGCTCTCCTGCCCGCTAACTCTGTTCCATCCACACAGACCTCCTTGCTGTTTCTTAAACATGCCAGGCTCACTCCCACCTTGGGGTCCTTATTCTTGCTCATCCCTCTACCTGAAATGCCTTTCTTCCAGGTAACCTCTTGGACAACTCCCTCACCTCCTTCACTCAAATATTACCTTCTCCATGAGATCTTCTTTGATGATCCTACTCAAAAGTGGCCACTCTCCACCCTAGTACTTCCTGCACTCCTTTCCTGCTTTATTTTTCTCCACAGCACTTATCTCCCCCAACTTATTGTTGGGGATTCCCATACAATTTAGCACCTGCCCTAAGAGGACTGTCCCACTTTATAATTTAGTGTAGGGCTTTAATAAAATACTGCCTATCAAATGACCTGTGCCTGCTTTAATCTGAACTTCCAACAGAAACAGAGCAAAATATATCTTAGCCACATGTAATATCACTGGCACTTTAAACTGACTTCACTACATTTTGAAGCCTAAGATTTCCAGCTCCTCTTCCATGGTTTTTTTCAGTTCTTCTCTGAATGTTATATAATTCTCTGACTATCCACCCCACCACCACCACCCACCATGAAGCTCACCCATGAATTCCTATGGCACTTACATCCAAGTTGGCATCCAACTATTTACTGTTGTTGCATATGGCATCTGGTTGTTTCATGTGTTTCCCCTTCTTATGTGATGACAGACACTACCTTTTAAACTTCTGTTACACCCCCATAGCACTTAATCCCGGCCTGACCAAGTAGTCAGTGTCCAATCACCACTTGTTAACTATCTGTCCAGATAGGAAAGAAAGACCCAGAACTTATTTAATATGTGCTTCCCTTAACTATTGCATAGGCTCACTGAAGCTAAGAATGTGTTTAGTCATGTACATGTGTACAGTATATATCTCATCAACTGAGTCCTCCACCCATTCACATATCCTGTATTATAAATGTGCCTGATTAAAGCCTCACTTACAGAAAAACCACCATTTCTTCCAGATTTGAGCTAGCTTGCTTCCTTCCTTCCTTCATGTGTGTAAAAATAGCTTTTAATTTAAAACAATTGATGCAATAGATCTTCTATCTCTCTTTCTAACACAAGCAAATGGTCTCCCAAACATTTCATATAGTTTAAATAACTATGACTAGTGCAAAATAAAATAAATGCAAATTCTTTCAGGAGCCAGCATTGAAACCTGCTGGGCAGGTGGGCACAGGCAATGGGCTCAGGCTCTGCCAAGGCCAAGAGAAGCAGCCTATCAAGTGCAGCAAGATTTACACAGGATTTCAACACACCCAGCTGTGAACAGATTAAACGATACCTGGGGAGGGGAAACCAAAAGAGAATTTTGCCTAAAATGAAACAAATATGCCCAATATCCTCATAGAGCTAATATCCTTGGCACTTGGAAGATACTAGAAAAATAAGAACAAAGGTAGCAGCTCCCAGGCAAAACTGAAGGTAGGTAGTTTGGGGCTCATTTGTGTTTGTTTTTCAATTGGGGTCTTACATATATATTGGTTTTTAGACCGAAAAATCTTCTGCTTTCTGGAAAGTGTTCCGTGCCTCACAGTGCGCCTGACTCCAGAAAAAATATTTGTGTTGCTTCTGTTTGTTTGAATGCTTCACAGAATTATCTTTCCCACCTAAGGGATTTCACTGCCATACTCTACACCATGCACTGTCCAATAGCAGTGCAACATTAGCCACATGTCTAATTTTAAATTCTTTAGTGGCCACATTTTTAAAAGATACAAATAGGTGAAATAATTTTAATATTTATTAAATTATTAATATTTTATTAAATTAATACATCAAAAATATTGTTGTTACAGCCTGTAATCAATATAAAATATTGATGAAATATTTTATATTCTTTTTTTGGTACCAAGCATTTGAGCTCTGGTATATATTTTATGCTTACAGCACGGGAGAAAAAAAAGCAGCCATTGGCTGGGCTCAGTGGCTCATGCCTGTAATCCCAGCACTTTTGGAGGCTGAGGCAAGAAGATTGCTTGAGGCCAAGAGTTCAAGACCAGCCTGAGCAACATAGCAAGACCTCATCTCTATAAAAAATTTAAAAATTAGCCAGGCATGGTGGGGCGTGCCTGTAGTCATAGCTATTTGGGAGGCTGAGGCGGGAGGACCCTTGAGCCCAGGAGTATGAGGTTGCAATGAGCTATGATCATACCACTGTACTCTATCTGGGTGACAGAACAAGACCCTGTCTCAAAAAAAAAAAAGAAAAAAAACCCACCAGAAACAAAAAAAGGCAGCCGCAGTACACCATCTTACATGATATTTAGGCATCAAAAGGGCTAATTTACTAAATTTCTTTTTCTACTTAATGAAATTAAACAATTTATAACCTATAATCTTAAGTACTGATTTTACGTCATTGATTTTGCAAAGTTTTATTTATAAAATTTTATTGTAAAATATGTATTTTATTCAAAATATGCATGCCACCTTTGTCTATATTTCAATCCAAACCCCAATCACCCCAAATCCCCCCAAAATGCTTTTTCTTTGAGACATCTTTGGAACCGATCTATTTTTGTTGTGTGTTTGGAGTCATTATTCTATGATCCTCAGCCCTGAGGGCACTGAATTTGGTAAGGCTGCTTATCGTAGGGGTTTCCATGGGCGTCAGTGACTTGAGTGGGACTGTTTAGGATATCCAAGTCAACATTAGAAGGGACTCCAGTGAGCACACTTTAGTAGAGAATTGCTACATCATGAGCTCCCACTTTCTGCCAACCTTATTTGTTCCCAAATTGAAGAAAAGATCAGATGAGAGAAGTCAGGAAGTATACTCTACTCGGACCCACCATGGCATAGGTTCATCAGATCAAATCTCACCATATCCTCTGACTGGAAAGAGAGAGCGGGTGTCCTCACATCATTGTGCAGATGAGAAGAATGAGGCACAGGGAGGATGAAGGATGTACCGACCCACAGCCAGATGAGGCCAGCACCCAGGTCTCCAGGCCATGGGCCTTGGACACCACATCCCTCACTTATATGGCATTAAGTGATCTCTTGTGAGACAGCAGCCCCAATCATAACCAGACTCCTGATTGTTCACAACTCACCACATCCTAATCCAATGTTTGTTTTTCATTTCACCCAGTTGGTTCTGCTTTATTTTCCTGCAGTTTCTAGAAAGATCTTTTCATCCAAATACATGTTAAGCAGACATGTAATAAGACCTTTTTCATTTGACTGGATAAACTGAAATAGAAATTCCAGAGACTCTGGAATTTGGTCCAGAGCAGTAGGAAAATTATAAAACTCTTTATCACATTTGAAACTCTAATTTAGTCATAGGTTGCAACTAAAATGCTGAAATAACCAAAATGGGAAGGATGGTCTTCCATAATATCATATAAAGTTTCTTTGCATCTGAAACCCTTTAAAGCGTCCAAGATCACACTGTTGGTCACATCAGATAAACAGTGAAGGCAAGTCAGGGGTGATAAACCAAAACAAGGGCAGAGATAAGATGCTGGACCTAGAAAAACATGGAAATGGAAGCAGGCAATGAGCTCAGAGATGAGGAAATTACAGATAAATTTGGGGCACTTAACATGATACCAGGGAGTTATCATGTGGTATGGTAAAAAGAGATTAGCTATTTTAACTAAAGTAAACACTATACCTTTTGGGGAAAAGGCTGCTGAGAAACAGAATTTATCTACCTTTGGCAAAGTACAATATTATGCTGCTGTGGGCATCTGGCATTATACCACCAAATGTCACAAACTCAGGTGAATTCTTGACAGCACTTAAAGGGGTAACTCAGCCCTTTTTACTCCTTAATATCTAAAGGTGGAGCTCATTTTTTAAACTTTTCCTGAGTTATAGTTTCATTAAAATGTTTACTTGCTTTTTCTAGATATGCTTAATACCAACTGGTTAGCCTTTAAAAACCAACCCATCACAGATTTTCTAGTAGACTATAAAAGTCTCACAATCTCACACATATTCACACAATTATATTATGAATTTCGATATGATTTAAATTAAAAATATCTTTCATTGCAAATGTTCCATTATATATACATAAATCAGAAATTATTGTGTGCAATGAAAAAAATTATGTCACAAATAAAGTCCCACCCAATTGATGATTTTCTATATGAAACAAAAGTGGGCTTTTCATTTATTGAGGGTAAGGCCACACCATTGGCCACATTAATAGGTTTCTCTGGAGGCAACTACCACAGACCCCTGAAGCAAAATAGAGGGAGCACAACCCCATTTTTGATGTGCTGAAGGCAGACCTCCCACCAGCAATATGAATACCTTTTTTCTATCATCCTCTTCTTGAACATTCATAAAAACTGTACACTACCTACAATAGTGTTATCATTACTAATACAAGTTTCTTCCCAGTTCTATTTCTGAAGGTATCAAATTACCATGCTCTTTGAATAAACAAACTATAAATACCCAATGTATTCTTTCATGTCTGGCTGTCCCAACTTCTTCTTTTTTTTTTTTTTTCTTTTTGGTGGCTAATTAAAAAGATATATGGCAGGGCATGGTGGCTTATATCTATAATTCCTGTGCTTTGGGAGGCCAAGGCAGGAGGATTATTTGCAGCCAAGGGTTTGCAACCAGCCTGGGCAACATAGCAAGATCCCTTGTCTACAAAAAACAAAAACTTAGCCAGGGATGGTGGCATGTGCCTTAGTCCTAGTTAGTCAGGAGGCTGAAGCAGAAGAATCACTTGAGCCCAAGAGTTCAATACCAGCATGGGCAACATAGCAAGACCCTGTCTCTTAAAAAAAAAAAAAAAGTATATAGCTTCTTCTTGTTGATGTGTATGTTTTAGGTTTAGTTTGTTATACTGTGGTAAAAGTACATATAGCCCAGGTCTTTAGGGAGGCCTTTCTGAGGCACAAACTTTGTGGACATTGTAGATAACACATCTTTCTTCTTTTTGATATGGCAAATGTAATAGCCACTCATTGTAGATGTTCCCATGTGACTGATGAATGCAAGTAATTCATCCATGTATTATTTTTAGTGTTAACCTCACGTGATGAGTGCCCAGGAGCCACTCTCCTCTTTCTTCTTTAGGTCCCCTTAACAAAGAAACAGCCCATGTAGCTACTCTAAACTCGGCTTCTATTAAATAATTCTGCCCTGCCAAAACTGGCAGAAGCCCTGCTCGTGATACAAACACTGCTATCTGCATCAGGGAAAGGTTGTGGAGCTTCAAATAGTCATGCAAACCAAGTCAAGAGCATGCTGGCTGCTGCAGTCAATGAAGCCAGTGATTTCATATGCTATCATAACAGCCAGCCCTGGGAAGACACTTTGGGGTCCCCTAAAGTATGCGAGATGATAATAGCAATTTACTGTATTTAGGAGCCAGCTCTAGCTATTAATATTATATGCTAGGTGTCCCAGAATTCTGGTAATGAAACTTAACAGAATTCTGGAAATGTTATTTCTAATAGCTTTTAGACAACATTACTACCATCTTAAACTTACCTGGCACTTTTTTTTTCCATTTACAATATATCATTTAATGGTTTTTAGAATATTCTCAGAGCTATGCAACCATCACTACTATCAATTTTAAAACATTTTCATCATCCCAAAAAGAAACCTGGTACCTATTGGTAGTCACTCCCTTTCCCCATACCTGGCATTTTTAAATCAAAAAAGTTTTAAGTATTAACCCCTCATTCCACACCACAGATCTATGAAAAATGCTGCCAGACACTAGAATTAATGCCAGTTTGGCTCATCAAGACATCTGGAGCTCTCCACCCTGCTAATCTACTACACAAGCAACAGAGAGGCTGAGAACAGGTTCTGTTATATTAGATTCTTTTTTTTATATATATAATGACTATAGTAATCAGTTTATTACACAGATTAATTATTCTTGAACGTACACGCTCCAGAGGAGCAATTGGGTCTTTAAATAAAGACAAGTATTTTCATCAAATGAATTTTCACCCTTACATCCAAATAGACCTAAGCAGTTAAAAATATAAGAAAATAAGAGCTATTAGCTATGAATTAACTGAGAAACCACATACAAACCAAAGAATATGGAAGAGAGAAAGAGAGGCTGAAAGGCTGAAGGTTGAGGGGACGGGAGACATAAAAGAGCTGGGAACAAAGCCCATCACACTTTATGTACTAATAGCTCCAATCCATTTAAATATTGGCCAGTTAAACTTAGACCTTAAAATACAGGATGTGGGTAGAATTAATCTGGTTGGTCATAACTTTCACCCAAGACGCAGGTTCTTTGGAATAAAATGAATACAAAAACAGCTTCATGTTCTTCACCTTGCTTTACATAACTGTTTTGAATTTAAATGGATTCCACTTAAAAGCAATCTCCTACAGGTCAGTGGAGCTTTTCTTCCCCATCCAAGCACACACCAAACCCACCACCCCTCACACCTTGCCATTATCCAAATTTAAGTCAATAAGGAAAGCTTTTAGTCTCACACCTAGGTTATGCCTGGAGAAATGGCTTGTCACACACACACTTCTCTGCTAGGAGGCAATGTTGGTACAGAAGTACAGTATTTCTAGTTTGTTGTTCCAAGTATGTACAACACGCAGCACTGCTGTATCAGATAAACATGTGCACAGGGGAAGATGAGGCGTGGGCTCATAGAAAGCAGTCAAATGGAAAGCAGTCAAATGGAAATCAAAAGGACTTTCTCTTTCAGAGTTTCCCTATCTTTATTTGTAGAGGTTATCCAATAATTTCTTTAATTACATGGCATACTTCTGAGTCCATTCCCAAGCTATTCTGTTGTACTTTTCTCAATCTGTTTTGTAGATCCGAGCAATCTCAGGCACTAAAGGATCATCTGGATTGGGATCACACAACAGAGAACAGATGGACAAGAGTACTTTTGGAATAGTTAGTGCTGGAGACCACTGTGACTGTAGAATATCAAGACAAATGCTGCCATTACTGTTAATATTTGGGTGATAAATTCTTGTTGTAAATGCAACCTTAGATGGTTTGAAGGGGTAATCTGTTGGGAAATGAATTGTCAAGAAAAACACTCCACCCTGATATGGACTGTTATTTGGCCCCATTATTGTAGCTTGCCAGTGGAGCATGTCATCTCCAACAGGACCTGCTGAACACTGTGCTGGGGGATCCCATGCCAGGTCACTCAATTCCTTGTGGATTCTCTTCAGAGCCATGGTCTGTTATATTAGATTCTAACACAAAAGAAATGCAGGAACATGCTACCTACTCTGGTTGGGAAATAGCGGCTTGTCTTAAATGTCTTTAAGGTGCTCGAGAGGATGAAGGTGGTGAAGAAGAGAATACAGGACCAAAAAAGCACATCCGGAGTGTAGGGTCCATGATGGCCACACGCAGATCCCATAAACTCTCCGTGCATCTTCTGGCATTCCTAAAGGAACAAACATTTCTGGGTAATGAAAGGCAGATACAGGGAATAAATACCTGTTTCCTTCTGAGTCCACCACTCACTGTCACCCCATAGTTGCGGGGGAGCTCAGGCTGCCAGCAGCATCCCCTTGACCTCCATGTAGTTATGGGGCTCTCCCCTGCACGGGCCTCTTTCAAGCAGGATGACTACTTATGGTCCTACCTAAGACATTTCAAAATGAAACCAGAACTGCTCTAAACATTGTTTCTGAGGCTCTAGGAAGACCCTAGCAATTTGTACTGTTTTTATTAGAGGACTTCCAAACTTGAATATTCCTCAAGCCCCAAAAAGCCTGGATCTACCCCTTGCCCTGCATGGTTTTATCCCTACCTATCCTTAGTGCAGGGTTACTGGTCAGGTGTGTGTAGGAGAAAAGAGAGGGATAATCTTCTCCCTTTATGTTCAAGAGAACTTTGGCAAAGGAAAAACAAAGTAAGTAAGAATAGGGTTATTGTTTTTTTGGGTTTTTTTAGAAAAAAAAAAGCTCTATTTCTGTAAATGCCGGAGTTTGCCAACAGCCTACCCCTGTTCCACCTAGATGTCCCTCCAAAACCTGGTGGTCACAAGGCTAAGACACCTAGCAGCTCCCAGACTTACACTGACAGTCAGGTTAGCCCAGTGGACTTCTGTTGTCACGATGTTGTGGTCCTTCCAGTACTGTAGGGTGTGATTATTTGGATTCTCTGGGAGAGTACACTTGCAGCTGAGGGGAAAAATAAAAAAGATTCCTAAGGAAAGTGGGTAAATATTCGATTAAATGTTTTTGGCCATGACTGAGTTAAGGATCTCTCAGAACCTGCTTTGTTTCTCCTTTGCATACATCAGATCCCTGAGGTGGGTCCTATTCGTTGAGGCCCCTCTGTAGGCCCCACCACACCCCAATTTTTCATTTGATCGTCACTAAAGATGGACTCACATCAGTGTGAGGGTGTTAGATTGAATTGTGCTGATGACCACACTTGGCATATGATGTGCCCAGAATGAGTCCTGGTCGTTTTCTTGTTTGGTTTCTATCTCTTAGGCTCTTGTTATGAAATTCAATCCATATCACAAGGAGATCCTACTGATACCCCAATCAGTTCCCAACAACTTCCTCCAAGCCTGAATATCTTATTTCCTATATACCCTCGTCACACTCATTTTTTAAAAATTGTCTCCTAGAATTGTGATGCAAGCGCTTCCTGACACTGCATTATCCTTGATAATATTCTACTACCTTGGCCATTTCAGGGCTACTCATGCTAGAGCCACATCTGGAAGCTCCATTAACTTTCCCAGGCCTCCTCTTCTATCCAAACCAGACCAGACCACACCTGTCCCACTGGCCACAATATTGACTCCCAGTTCCAGCATGTTTCATACCTGAACTGGCTCCAAAAAATGGTCAAATGACACAGCCATTACTATCAACTTTGTATTATCTATGAATTTAATAAGCATGCCTTCTAAGATATAGCATGACCAGAATTAAAATTTAAAAAGATCTTAACAGGTTAGAATAATAGGAGAAAATCGACAAAATTAAAATTAATAGGGAAAGCTCCAAAGCCCTACACTTAAGTTTGAAAAATGCCAAATTTGGAGGCAACCAAGGTGTCCTTCAGTAGATGAAAGGATAAATATAGTACATTCAGACAATGAAATATTATTCAGTACTAAAAAGAAATGAATTATCAAGCCATGAAAATATATGAAGGACCTTAAGTACATATTACTAAATGAAAGAAGCCAGTCTGAAAAGGCTACATACTGTATGATTCCAACTATATGACATTCTGCAATATTCAAAACTATGGAAGCAGTAAAAAAAATCAGTGGTTGTTAGGAGTTGGCGGGGGAAGGAGGGATGATAGGCAGAGTACTGCGGATTTTTAGGGCAGTGAAACTATTCTGCATGATACTATAATGGTGGACACATGTCATTAAACATTTGTCAAAATTCATAGACTGTATAACACCAAGTGTCAACCCTAATGGAAACTGTGGACTTTGGGTGATAATGATGTGTCAATGTAGTATCATTAATTGTAACAAATATATACCTCTGTTGTGGGATGTGAATAATGGATGAGACTGTGTATGTGTTGGAGCAAAGGATATATGAAATTCTCTGTACTTTCTACTCAACTTTGTTATGAGCCTAAAACTGTTCTAAGAAATAAAGTCTATTTTTAAATAATCAATTCCACACATATTAACATAAATCATATAAAGAGTTGAGATGTTCTAGTTTCACATCAGCACCATATGAACCAAAGTGGAATATAGGAAAAATATCATCTTGAGCCTTATTAACAAAAAACTACAGTTTCCAGGTCCAAAGTCTATCCAATCCAGGGCTGGTCACTTTTGTCTGTCTTCTCCCACTAGAATATAAGCCTCATAAAGATAGATCCTTTGTCATGTTTACCACTATGCTTCCCGGGCCTAAAACAATGTCTGGAACATAACAGGGGCTCAATAAATATTTTGTTAAATGAATAAACAAATGATGAAAAGAGGCCAAAGAATGAACTTTACTTACAGAAATAAGAATTCCAATGCTAACAAGCTAGGCTCATCACTAGGCTTTGAAGATTATATTCATTGTTACTTTGTAATAAAATAATTAAAATTCTAATAATTTTTTTATTAATTCTGATTTCAGAAAGGTTAATGAATGGATAACTAGAATATATAAAAGTGCATTTGTGGCTTGTTGCCAGATGCTTCCATGTAGTGTGCTCTCTCTTCTCAGGCAGTTTCAGGTTGAAAATACTTGCTTTACAACCAGATCCTCCACAGCAGAACTGTACAGCCAGAAGGAGGAAACTTGATGTCCAGAGCTAAAGGAAAAGGATCTTTAGTCATAATTTAGAGAATGCTATTCTAGAGAAGAAATGATTTATAGGACCAGACTTTCCTGGATGGATGAAAACACAGCCACATTCTGGGTTTCTTTTCCAGATAATCCAAACTATATTGAACACATGAAGAAATCATAGTCTCTTGGGTTGAAATTTAGGAAGTAAATAAGTTTCTAGATCTTTATGATATGGTGAGAGAAACCCCTGGATCTGAAAGGAATTATTAATACATCTCCCTAATGATTCCTGAGAGTTGCTTGTACATACTTTCAGAGACAGAGAGTCCATTCTCTCACTTAGTAACATGGTCCAGGGGCTTATAATTCTTGCAAAAAGAAGTTCTTCCCAATAACTACCTCAAATTCTCCCTGATACATTTACAGCGTATTTTTGTTTCAATGCATAGAACTGAAAGATATGTTCTGAAAAACATTTCTCAAGTCCCCTCTGTGTTTCCCTCTTAGTCTATCTTTGTCATCTCTTTTGATTGTTCTCCTTTGACATTCCTCCAAGTCTCCTCATCCATCTTTGAGCTCTGTTTCACAGAGGGCCAAGACACTTCGTTACCAAAGCTGTAAGCACTGCCTGGCACACTACATCAGCAATTAAACTCAGGTGCTTTGCTCAATTAAAAAATGTAAGCAAAAAACACACTTACTAATAGAGGCTAAGGTGGTCCAGTTGGCTGTGCATGTGGATGGGGTAGGTCTCTGCCAAGTGAATCAGCTTTTCTATTGCTTCATAGATGAAGATAATGCAAATCAAGGAGGCAAACGCTTCTTCAGTGAAGCGGGTTATGTAGCAGACAAGGGAACTGGCATCAGTTGCCACGAGGACAATACACAGGAAGGCGGTCCACAGTCCAATACAAGCTCGAAGGGAGAGGTATGAAAGAGCATAGTCTCTGAAACAAGAGCAAAGTTCATCAAAAAGCATGGATGGATGGCATTAAGAGACAAAGGGTCAGAAATACAGTTAATTAATCTCATATAATCCATACAAGCTTGGAATCCAGTTTATTCCTAATTCTGGCTACATTTCACTTTTAAATAATGCCCTGGCACAGCAGTAATAAAGATATGTCTCATGGGATATGGGCAAGGATATGAAAAGTGGAGAAGGAAGGTGTCTCACAACATTTCTGCCACTACTACCCAATGTGATTAAGATCTTCTTCTGGCAGTAAGAAAAAGGGGCTGGCCCTAGTCCTATGTGTTCCTATTTCTAATACAAAATGAAAAAAAGAAAAAGATTTCATAGGAAAGGTAGGGCAACTGGAGTACTGTCAAGTCCCACTATCACTAGCAATCAGAATATGAAGGGGGGATATTAGGGTAAAATAAAAAATGACTTGCAATGCAAATGAAGGAGTTTAAATTAGCTAGGAAAAGGGATTTTTTAAAAGATAAGTGAAGACTTCAATAATGACTGAGAGACATTACTTTAAGAATAAGAGATCTGCTATTTTAGGTGTGGTTCTACCTGAGGACAGGACAACAGAACAAATAACGTTCTTCTTTCAAGTTTCTTACAATCTAGAATGATATTGCCAGCTTGTACTCACATAGGGCCCTGGCAATCAACCTGGCAGCACAATAACCACATTGAATTAGAGTTTTCAAAAAAACAAATGTCTTACTTGCAGAATTTGAACAAAATTTTTTCAAACACAAGCACTGGCCCAGTACTTCCCAGGATGGTGAGAGCCTGTCCCGCAAATAAGGAATAAGCAATCCCAGTCATGGAAGCTCCAAACAAGGATTCAATGGCACTCTGAGAGGGAAAAAAAAAAAATCATCACTGAGTCCATAGGCCATCAGTAAAGAACGATGTTGGTTTGTGTACGTTCCTCACTTAGCCCTCATGTGTGCCTTGACAGTCATTTGCTTATATTTCATCTTAGCTAGAGTGATATGTACACACACTAATACTTCTGTTTATTTTATTTTTTTTAGACAGAGTCTCACTCGGTTGCCCCAGCTAGAGTGCCAATGGCAACATCATAGCTCACTACAACCTCAAACTCCTGAGCTCAAGCAATCCTCCTGCCTCAGCCTCCCAAGTATCTGGAACTACAGGCACATGCCACCATTCTCAGCCCAGCTAATACCCTTCTATACAGATATCACTTTAATAATCCAGGTGCCCAAATCCATTCACATATGATTCCACAACTAAGTCCTATTCTTTAGTGACTCAATTCAGTATTTGAAAGTATATAGAAAGCATGATGATAACAGTCACACAGAGTCACTTGAAATCTTATTTTCAAATGGCACCAATATAACTATTTTCCATCTTTAAATTGATAGACAATTCAACTGGGCAAACTGATATTGTAGCAGAAGAGTCTGTTCTAAAGGGAGAACTGTGCTGCTCTTTGGAAGGACAGTCAGAAGTTCATGGTAATTCAGGAGAAAGAATCCAATCTCCTCAGTCCTAGACTAGATAATTTCTGCCCACCCCACCTTGCAGTGGACTAAGCTGCTGCCACAGTATTTTAAGTCTTGTTTGAGACCATTAAAAGTGGTTAAGGCTGGGCGTGGTGGCTCACACCTGTAATCCTAGCACTCTGGGAGGCTGAAACGTGCAGATCGCTCAAGGTCAGGAGTTCAAGACCAGCCTGAGCAAAAGCGAGACCCTGTCTCTACTAAAAATAGAAAGAAATTAATTGGCCAACTAAAAATATATAGAGAAAAAAATTAGCCAGGCATGGCGGCGCATGCCTGTAGTCCCAGCTACTCAGGAGGCTGAGGCAGAAGGATTGCTTGAGCCCAGGAGTTTGAGGTTGCTATGAGCTAGGCTGATGCCACAGCACTCTAGCCAGGCAAGAGAGTGAGACTCTGACTCAAAAAAATTAATTAATTTTTTAAAAAAGTGGTTAAAAGTTCTTACTATGCGTCCCTCGGTGGCTTCTCCAAGCAATCCCCCAAAGGTGATGACAGGTGACATGCAGGCACAGTACAGGAACAGGAAGGAGGCCAAACACTGTAAGCTGAGTGCATCCCGGTAGTCGCTCCAATACCAGGGGGCCTTCCGCTTGATGTCCAGCACCAAGCCCCCAAATAGCCTGTGGAAACATGGCAGACAGGCCTCTAACACAATCCCTCTTCCACAAAAGCATTTGAAAGCATTTCTAATGTGTTCTGTATTGAGGTCATAGTTTGGATTCGATTTGACTCCAAGTAGAGGAGAACTCTCTGGGGTCAGCACAGAGTCTCTTTGCAACCAAGAGCATGACTTGCAGTAAATTTGAATGATTATCCTAAGAATAAAAAGAATTATTCTGTGTATGTATATTACCCATTCAATAAAAAGTTCAAAAAAATTAATATGAAAGCAAGTATTAGCTTTAAATTTTAAATTCTGAGCTATTATTAGGAAATGTATAAAACCAACTCAAGATATTATGATTGTTAGTTTTATTAAATTTTTTCTAGATAAAAAGCCCCTATCACATGCAGTTACTAGAACAACTACCCACCTTACTTGTGAGAAATTAGCATAATGATTCATTCATGCGATTGATAAGTAGTAGCAGACACTTGGCGACAGGCACTGTGCCAGGTACTGGAGATGCAGCAGTGAGCAAGACAAGCACAGCCCTTGCTCTCCAAGACCAACGGTCTAGTGCAGGAGACAGGCAGTGTTGTGAGGGTGCTATGGTAGCATTGAACAGGGAGGGGGGCATTTCAGTGATGACTCAAGTCAGACGAGGCACAGGGCCTAGCATGGGTGACACTCAGAAGTGAGAGTGCATTGCAGGTTCAAAGTGCTAAAAGAGTTGAGACTGGATAATACAGCATGAAGGGCAAATTCCAATAGATGAGGCTTGAGAATCTGAGTCACAAAGGGCCTTGTAAATGGCTTTAAGGAATTAAAACTTTATCCTAATTGCACGTCAAATTACTGAAAAACTATAAACAGGGGAGCAACATAATCAAACATGTATCTGGAAGGATCACTCTTGTGGTGGTGTAATGAATGGAACATGGATTGGGATGAGGAAAAGTGGATGGAGTCAAACTAATGAGGAGGTAGAGTCAATAGGACTTGATGGCAGGATTCAGGACCCCTTTCCAAAAATGAGACAGACCAATAATAAGGTATCCCACACTAAGGAGGAAGAGTGCTCTCAGATTTGGCCACTTTCTCCAAAAGTGTAGTCACTGCACCAGGGTGAAAGCTGTCAGTGAGTAACAAAAAGAGCCACTCAGCATCTCCAGCACAAATCACCTGGCTTCTTCCACAAATCAATGACATAGCAAAAAAGGAAGAGGGGCTATTATAGAATGGGAACATAATAATCAAATGCAAGCCTTGATGGACTCCTATATCAAACAAAAGAACTCTAAAAAGATGTTGCTAAGACAATCATAAAAAGTTTAATATGGACTGAGCATTAGATAAAGAATGACTTGATTTTGTTAGATTTGATAATGGCATGATAATTTGTTAATGTCCTTATCTAACAGAGATACATACTGAGGTATTTATAGGTAAATGATATGATGTCTGTGATTTGGTTTAAAATAATCTGGAAAGCATAAAAATAAAATTAAGTGGGAAGAAATTGATGAAACAAGCTTGCCAAAATGTCAATAATAGTTGATGGGTTGGGTACATGAGGGTTCATGATACTAGTCTGTCTTCTTTTTTCATGTGTTTGAAATTTTCTATAATAAAAAACTAAAACAAACAAGCTACTCTCTCATGGAAGGAGTCTTGACCAACTCTTATTTTCCTTCTGTCACCTAGGATTCTGGAGGAGTATGAGGTGGCCTGGGACCTGTATGCTGGCCCAGACAGCTCTTTCTCCACTCAAATGCTATCTTTCACCTAGCTAATACAAGTGGACATAGGGCAGACACTGTTTTACCTTACTCACTTGCTTTTTTCCTCTGCTTTTAGTGGGTGTAGTTGGGATTCATCTTTCCTCAACTTATAACATCACTGTCTGGGTCTGGGCTTAGGGGAGAGAGGCAGGGCCAAATCTGTGACCTTCCCTAGTTTTAGCCTATCTGGCAAACCTAGCTTAGGTGAAAGTATTATCTACAGGGTCAAGAGTTCCATCTCAGGGTTTGGGACCAAGGCTCTGGTTAGTAGTAAAGTATCACTTTCTCTTTCTTTCTTCTCTGGGTAAATAGCCCCTCAATGACTTTATAGGCAGCAGTGATTAGCCTTGGGCAAGATTTAAGGGTTTCCAAGTCCTTAGCTAACATAGCGTCTTTAATCATGGGAATATCACCTCCTCATCATCAATAACCCTCCTTGGAAGGGCATTATTCTAGGAAAAGAATCTCCTTCTATAATAGTGAGTCCCATCCCACTGAGGCTGCTTGAGATGCTGCCATGATTGGTCAGGCCCTGGACACAAGAGACATCTTCAGAGAGGAATGTCTGTGAGCAACAGACAAAAGATTTATTGAAATGGATTTATGAGAAGCCATAGAAAGGGAAGACATCTGTCTACCTAGCAGCAATTAACAGGCAGGGAAAGATCTGAGGCTCACATCAATGGTATAACTGTAAATTAATAATTTCTGAATAGTGTTTATGAAGTCAGCTTCATACCTCACTCATGCATAAAATCAGACCATAATTGCACATCTACAACAGATATTAATTAGGCATCGATGCTTCTGTCTATATTTGAGACTTCCTTTCCTTTTCAAGACTGTCCTTGGTGTTAAGTTTGGGCGAGGGGGCAGAAGGCACACAGGGATATAAATTTAAGCTTGATGCAAGAAAGCACTTACCCGTGCAGAGGATCACTAGGATCTGGAGCACTGACTTAGGGAGCCCTTCCCTGGAGGGCTTTAGGGACACGCCAGCCATCCATTTGTCTGGTGTGCTTTGGAAGAAACCTGTTTGAAGTGTGGGGGATCATCGAGATAGCAGCTCCTGATTCTTTTTTTCATTAGCCCTTCCCAAAAGTGGCAACCCCAATAAGGGACAAAAATCTATCCTGGAAAACCCCTTTCCAGAGTTTCTTCTCCTTGCTATGGAGCTTCTGGCCTAGGAACACTCTAGTCATACTTTCTTCTTTGTCATGTATGGCATCCCTGCCTGAGGAAACACCAGGGAGGTTCAAGACACTGTTTTAGCCCTGGCTTGAAGGGTTATATCATACAGAACTCAGACTGCCATTTCAACTTTGTCTCCTTTTCCACCTTCTTAGAGTCTACTCCAGCCCACCTTCAAATACCTCTCCATCCAACAAGGATAACATCCGCTAAGTCTCCATGTTTTGCCCCAAGGTTGTGCAACATGACATACATAAAGCAGGATTTGCATCTCAAAGAAACACAATTAATTGGTTTGAAGAATTATAAAACCCAGGCTAATGTATTTTTAGTTTGTACAGTCCAGGAAGGTATAGAAACTTCTAGGATGTCCATCTGTAGGAAAGGCTCACATTTACCTCCCACATAATCTGAGACTGGGAAAAGGGCCAGAACCGGCCTGGAACTGTGATCCCTCATGCAGGCATTATGTCACCTAGCCTAAGAGGCTACAATGGCGGGAAGGTCATGTGTCTTGAAGTCCTTTACTAAGGTCTCTGAGGAAAACATCAGGAGTTCAGAAAAAAGAAATATCTCCAATACCAAGCAGAATTAAGTTCTGAGCCCAGAGCTTCCTTTCAGTTTTGTCAGTTCCAGAAGTTCCTGATACAACATTTTGGGAGAACTCCTTCCAACTCCATTTGAATTTGTGAGTTAAGATACTTGGAATTTGTGATTAAGCACACAATTATCCTGGAAACATGGGATTTTCTTTGGGGAGATCAGGCACCATTTCTGAGATCTTATAACAGTTGAGATCCAATCTAATGGTCTCCCAAACCCCCATGTGCAATTGATTATAAGTGATTCTCTCAAAAAGCCTACGACTCCGAGTTTATCCTATTTTCTTTGGCACCAAAAGAAACTCAAAATCTCACCTCTGCACAGATATCTGTTTGGGGGAACTCTGTTGCCTGTAATTCCACTACTTTCAAACTCCAAGTCCTAAGATATGAAAACTCTTTATATCTAAAATATGAATTACAATTCTAAATTGTTATCAAATCCATACTCAAGACACTTTCCTTAAAAAAACTCCAACTCTCCTTGAATAATTGTAGTCCTAGAACACATTCTAAGATGCTTCCCTTGAACTGCCTCTCCATACCAGGCCTCGCCACCCAATTCAGACTTCTCCCAACTTTAAAGAAAATATTTAACTCACTCTTAAAGGTCGCTCCTTCTTTTCAGTGACCCCTTCAAATCAAAGGGCCCCTCCTTTCCACCAGTGCTCTCTCCCAGAGGATAGCTATCTTCCCTCATCCTCACATACATTCCTCCAACCAGAAAACATACTCCTTTACCAGGAGACTGTCAGTTAAGTGCCTGCCATTCCATCCTGTTTCTCTGTCTCCTCTTCTTACTTTTCCCTGAATTTTCAAGAGTAGAAAAATAAATTCCTCTCTATAATTCCAAAACAACCCTGAGTTTCCATTGCATAGAGTACTGAGAATAGAAGAGTAGGGACAGCAACTTCAAGCAAGGGGGAAGAAAAGTAGGTGAAGGCAAGGGAGTAACAGATATAAAAGTTTCTTTCTATGATGTGAGTCCTGCCCTGAGAATCTCCACCCAGCAGATCTTTTTAGATATAACACAACTTACAGAGCCAGATCCATAGTTTCAACTTTCTCCCATGATCTGGGGGTACCTATGGATGTCACACCAACCCAAAATATCATCATCCTCTTTTACCACTTTCCTACCTGGGAAAGGTGGGTAGGAAGTAAAAGCTCCTAGTCTGGGGACCTACTTTCCTCACTACCATAAAGGATCTCCTCCTTGGACATCTGTCTTTAAATTTTTGGCCTAGAAGACTATATTGTCTATTCTGAGGCACACACACCTAAAATAGGACCTACCTATCTTCCTGCCCTAAGGGAGTTTCTTAACCTAAAATGATCACTCAACATTTATCCATAGCCAGTAAATTCCATGCTACAGAACAGACATCATTCTAAAAGTATTCATTCATTCATCAGATACTGGGTGCCTATTCTGTGCAGGATAATGTGCTAGGAATCTAGTGGAGTCTCTCTCCTTTTAGAGCAAACGGTCCAGTAGGAAAGATAAGAAATCAAGCAATAATAATAAAGTATGATAAGGGCTATAAGGGGGAAAGTTAGAGCTCGATGCTGTGATATTATTATAGCAGGAACACCTAACCTCATTTCTAGAGAGTCCTGGAAGATTTTCTAAATGAAGTGGTGCCTAAGCTGAGACAAGGATAAGTAGGAGTTAGCTGGGAGATGAGGAAGGAGAGAGTGTTCAAACCAGAGGGAACAATGTGTAGGAAGGAGTAGAGGTGACACAGAACATGGTAGGTGGTTGGATAAACTTGAATGAATGAATACAATATTTGATATATTCATAATACTTCTAGTCAGTGCTTCCATTTGAAAGGTCATCCCCAGCCAATAAATTCCCACTACAGAGAAAGCAGCTGAAGGAACAGGACACCTCATTTCTTTATGCAACTTCTGGCCAATAAGCAGCATCAGCTGTGAAATGTCCCAGAACTTACCGCCCAGTACGCTGAAGTTCTGGCCCGCTATGACCCCCATGCGATTCTGGTTCAATGTGGCACACGTTTCCATTTGGAACTCCAGGCATTTTCCTTTTCTCCTTTTAACAGAAGACCACAAAATGAGTAAAGTCAGCATCTCTCTGTCCTTTCTGCCTTTGGGGGGATGGCAATGGGATAGCCCAAAAACAACCAAAAATGCCCAGATATTTGTAGCTTTCGAATGCATTTCCTAAAAAAATATACAATTTCTCTTCCTCTCCAATAGTACCTGACTCCTAACAATGCTTTGCCCAGAAATAGAAAAATGGGGGATTTGGCATCATTTATGACCTAAGTTCCAGTTTCAAATCTGCCTCCATATAATCTTATTTTACCTTAAAACCTTGTCTTGGAAGATAGCTTTATTCCTTATTTGTAAAACTAGGGATAACAATACCTTTTGGGAGATTGTGCAGGGAAGATTGAATTCACATATATGAGGCACCTGGCTGGTATCTAGTGCACAGTAGGAGGTCCCTTCCATCCTTAATGTGTCAGAAAAACACAGAGAGCTCTATTTGCTGCTCTCTATATACAACTTGTTCTTTTTATCTGATGACTTTGTACACAATATACTCCCAAGAAATATTTTCCCTTTTCTTCTCTGCCATTCCACATCCATCCTTCAAAATTTGGCTTAAAATTCATCCCCAGGTAATTCTGACTAACCCCATCACATCTGAGCCAATCTATGTTATGGCAGATCTATTTTTCATTACTGTCCCAACATTCTAGGTGCCCTGAAATAGGGCTACATCTCGATTTATTTAGCATATATCCATATGGTCTTTGCTTTGTCCATGGTGGGCATTCAGTAAGTGATACTAGCCACCATTGGCTAATGTCCATACATTACCTGGGAAGGGACGTTTTTGGGTGGTTCAATTCTAATGGAGGGGTCCCATTCCCCTGGAGGGAGCACCGTCACCTGGTCTAGGAACTCATCAATCCCTGCCAGGAGATCGTCTCGCTCTTTTGCCTTATATGCCACATCGTGAAAAATCTACAGAGAAGAGAAAAATCCTCAGGAAAGTTGAAAGTAACTTAAAACAATCACCAATGGGTATGGTGAATAATGGATACAACATCTTGATTTTTATCTCTGTAATGAGGATCTGAGGTGCAGAAAACTTTAGCACTTAGAGAAGTACAAGGATAAAAGGATTTTTAAAAAATGATTTTTTGATTTTTATCTCTATAATGAGGATCTCAGATGCAGAAAACTTTAGCACTTAGAAAAGTACAAGGATAAAAGGATTAAAAAAGTGAACCTAGAGATGAGACAGGTCAAAAAGAATTAAATATATGTCTGCTGGTATAAGAAGAGATAAGACATGACGTTAAAGTCATACAACTATAGTATCTCCACAAAGAATGAAAGAAAAAGGGAAGATGCATGGGAAATTTTCTTGATCATAATGATTGGAAACACTGGGTAGAATTACTAATAAAGGTCATCCATGAAATAAGCCTCCCAATCAAAGAGAGCTGATGAAACACAGCCCACATAGTCCTCAGCCTCTAAGACACATGCCTTGAAAGCCCTGCTTTGTAGCTTACATGAGCAGCGCAGTGCTCACCAGGGTATGCATTGTGGATTCAACACAATGCCAACGTCTGGTTGCTTTGATACAGACAAGTCAGGACATTGACATTATACTGCTTGAGATCATGCCTGTGACTTTATACAAACTGATCTCATTACATGGAAAAGGAGTGAGGTTTCTTTATGTAAATAGCTTAGACATATTTACTTAACCATCTTCTCTGGAAAGTTAAGTCAACCTTAATATATTTCTTTCTATACCTTACTTGGCAATAATAATTTTCCAAAAACAAAGCTTTCTCTGCATCCTTGATTACTTAAAAAAGGAGAGATAACGTAGGAAGAAAAATCCCCCAGAGGGTTTTGTCCTCCTACAATAGTCTCTGAGGGAGGTACCCTCAACTGCTTCCTAGCAGACATTGCAATTATAATTATTTTATCCCCAACAATTAGCACAGTCCCTGGTACAGAGTAAACACTCAATAAATATTTATGAGGTGAATGTATGAAGCAGAAGTGGTACATACTTCATCCGTCATGATGGTGGCCATGGATCTGCCAATTTCATGGTACTGCTGACCTTTCCCTACTGGACCCAATAAGATAAACAAAAACCTGGCAAAACACACAGAGGAGGAAATTATGTAAGTAAATATAAAGAAGTGGCATCTTACTCCTCTCTAAAGAGCATAACATTTATCTCTTCTATCAAACAGAAATCATCACTATACCTTCAAAAAAAGCAAACATGCTAATAATGGAGCACTTCAAGTTGCCTTGACCTAATAGCTCTACTATGGTTATTGGAAGCTATTTGTGTGATATCATTTAATTATGTGGTTATATTTCTTAGGGTTTCTATAGACACAATTCCTAATTATAGAAAGGACATTTTATCAAAACATGGCATTGTAGTGCAAATTAAAGGTTATCTGAATCCTTTCATTGTTCTAATAAGAAAATGATGGGCGAGAGGAGCAGGATAAAGAAATTGAAATGATCAAGCCCTGTAGAGAAATCTAAATTGTGTTCTGGGCATCTGAATACTCTCTGTAATCAGGGGCTCTGAATCACCGGCAGTATCACCTTCAGAGCATATGAATAGACTTTTGAACAAATGTGGGCAAGCCACATAAACCCGGCTAGAATTGTGGAAAGAGACAGAAATTCCTCTGCTCAGAAACATTTCCCTGGGATATAGCTCTATAGAACTGGGAGAGTATGACTTAGGTCTCCTATTATGACAAGTGATTGGCCCTTGCTACACCCTTTGAGTGCTCATTAATTCTCCATTTCCAAGACTGTAAGTACTGTGTAGTCATAGCCTTAAAAGTCTTAGAATTCCTCTCTGCATGGTGGTTAATCAAATATACCCTGATTTTCTAAGATTACCACTGAATTTTAAACACTATTCTTAAAATTAATTAATCCTAAATTTTGGCATTAGCTGGTTTTTTCCACCAGTGCTACACAGATTTGCACCTTAGACAGAATGCATGGAGTTTTATCTCTGCCTTTACCTTGTTGGGATTGGCACTTCTGTCAGGCCCGAGAGAAGAACAGCTGGAGACAGCCTCACAAAGGCAACGATGGGGCGGTCCAAAGTATCCACCTCTCCAACCAGGACATTTGAGGCCTCTGCCCCAGTGGGAATTTTTTTCATGAAATGAAGGTCCACCTGAAAGTCCAAAAGAACCCTCTGACAATTTGGGAGCCATCACCTTAAACATCAATCATCTTCCTCCTACACTCATATGTCATTTTATGGCTAATAAATATTTTCTCACGCTATTTTATCTGATCCTTATAAACACTCCAGAAGGTGGGCAAGACAGATCATATTAGTATCACTTTTAAAAAATAAAAATAAAAAAAGAAGTATCTGAGTCCTAGAAAAGTGAAGTTGACTTGCTCAGGACCACAGAGCTTTTAAGATACAGAGTCAGAATTTTAATCCAGGTATTCTGGATTTCAATCCCATTCTACCAAGCTGCCTCAAAGAGGAATATTTTTGAAGCTCTGGGTCATACTCTTTCCCTTTTTAAATACTTGAACACTTTGTCAGAGATTTCAGGTTTTCTAAATAAAACGGGGAGGCTGATAAGCAGAGAAAGTGACATGACACTGTCTGTTTTAGAAAGAGCAAGGAGAGGCTGGAGGCAGAGAGACCGAGGCTTGGACTAGGCTGCAGTAAGGCACTGCTACTGGAAAAGGCCTCAGATACCAAAGTCACACTCCTCAAGAAGAGTTTCAACCAAGAGGTAGTTTTAAAAGACAGTAGCAAAAATATTATTTTGTCAAACCCTTCGAGGTGAGAAGGAAATGCTGGCGAGCAGGTACCAAAAAATCAGGATGTCTGTGTTAGGGAAGACTCAGTTTTCAGCATATTGAATCTGGAGGAACAAACTACTGAGTCAGCCTCATCCAAGCTGGGGTAAAAGGGAGCAGACAAGTGCAAGTGGGCCTCCTTTTATGTAGAAAGGGCTCCGGTCTTGGAGTGAGAGTCTTAAAACACCAAAGCTCACCCAGATTCAACAAATGGACTCTGGGTTCAACTAGAAATAATCTTAGGCCTAGAGGCCAACTTCCCATGTCTCTGCTCACCTTGCTTAAATCCACAGGACTGTGTTCACAATTCACTCCATTTTTTACTTCAAGATTTGTAGTTAGAACAGACTGAGGAGATACAGTTTGACCTACATGGAGAAAACCAAACAGAATCCTCTGAGTCCCTGCCTTTTCCACTCTGACATACCCCACTCATCAGCAGTTGGCTGTGCCTTCTCCTGAAAAGCCGACCTGGAGAAGAGGTTAAGATGGCTACTAGGCCAGGAACTCCCCATACCTATCTCTTTACCTGCTAGTCAAGGGTAAGGAGAGGACACAGGTCTTACTAATTCTACACCTTCTTCCTGAACATATTCATGACCCTTTTGTATTTTTCTATTAAGGCAGTAATACATAACCAGAAGTATATATGAGAGACCCCTATGGAGAACTTTTCAAAACTATACATTCCCAGGCATATCTCCTACATGTGGTGATTCAATAAATGTGGATACCAGGAGATAAATATACATGAGGCCCTTCCTGGCCACAGGATAAGAAACCAATCAGCAGTTGAAATTCACTGAGGGTTTACAACCTTCCATGTACCCAGCTAATGGCTTTACATGGATTAACTCATTGAAGCCTCACAATAAACTTATGGAGGAGGTCCTATTATGGTTCTTATTTTACAGGTGAGAAAGTGAGGCTTAAAGAGGCTTAGTAGGTTGCCCAACGTCATTCACTTTGTAAGTGGTAAAGCCAGAATCACAAACCTAGAAGCCTGACTCAAGAGCCTACACTACTGTATTTTGCCTCCTTAATCTAAGACATTTGTTTACTCAGTTCACAGTCTCTGGTCTCAAATATCCCCAATGTGGATATCTCCCAAAGGCCACATCAGTTCTGAGGCCACCCTAGGGCACAAGTCCCTCTCGTTGGGTCTACTGAGAACTATCCAAAGAACACATCCCACGTGCCATGAGAGGGAGATGGGCACCGGTTCCAGCCACCCAACTTACCAGTCTCCAAAAAGTACTAAGTGTCTAAGTGGGCATGGAAACATTTGAGACAAAGATAGCCTCTACCCTCTAGTAACTCAGCATCTCCAACTAATTCCCAAATGTCTTATTAATAGAGAGAAAAAATGATCACTCCTAATAATCTTACCATTTTTATCCATCGAATGTGGATCAGACTGCTTCTTGCCAACCTCAGCAAAGGAACGAACAATAGGAATGAGGTTGTTTCTCTTCTTTTCATTCTGATGATGATGCTTTTTGAGAAGGGCTTCTCGTACTTTAACCCTCATACTGTCATTCAGGTCACTGAACAGTTCTTGCTGATCCAGGATCAGGTCTGAAAAGTAGGCACTCAGATGAACATACAAACTGAGGGTCAGTGAACCCAAGGAGGAAGCCAACACCAGGTGCGGTGGGGGTGTAAGACATGGGGTAGGGGGAGGCAGCTCCACTAGGGTCATTGAGGTACAACTTTAGCTTTAGTGTCTGAAAGAGCTATTTGATGATAGTGGCTGTGAAAAGTTATACTTTATTCATGTAACAAATCATTATTATTAGGAATAGAAACTATTGAGCATTTAATATGTGCCAGGAACTATACTGTGAACTTTACGTACATTATCTTAACTAATCCTTTTATTAATAAAAACCCTGAGGCCAGGCGCAGTGGCTCATGCCTGTAATCCTAGCATTCTGGGAGGCATAGGAGGGCAGATCATTTGAGCTCAGGAGTTCGAGACCAGCCTGAGCAAGAGCGAGACCCCATTTCTACTAAAAATAGAAAGAAATTAGCTAGACAATTAAAATATATATAGAAAAAATTAGCCAGGCATGGTGGCGCATGCCTGTAGTCCCAGCTACTCGGGAGGCTGAGGCAGGAGGATTGCTTGAGCCCAGGAGTTTGAGGTTGCTGTGAGCTAGGCTGACGCCACGGCACTCACTCTAGCCTGGGCAACAAAGTGAGACTCTGTCTCAAAAAAAAAAAGAAACCTTCCATCCGCAGTGCTATTCTCCCAAGTTCCTGCCCTGCCCTCTTTCCTTCTCTGTCAAACTACTTTCAAGAACAGTAGCCAACCTAACTCCCTTTCCTCACCACCTGGCTCATTGCCTTCTGACTCCACTCTCGACTGAAGCTGCCTTCATCAGGGACACCAGACACCACTTAATCACCGAATCTCTATCATCTTATATCTTTCTCCATTCTGTTCAAAAGACTTTCTTTTTTTAAGACTAGTCAAGTACAGTGGTGAGGAGGGAGAGAGTAGAATAAGGAGTTCAATCTGTAATTGACTGTGAAAATAAATTGAGATAACTCAGTACATTCAGACCAGCCACAAAAGACTTTCTTGAGAACTCCCCACATGTTAGGCAGTATCCTCGGCCAAGTCCTCCTCCCCAGTGCTCTGGGCTCCCTTGGCTCCTGCACCACTGCCCTCTTCTGGTTCACTCACACTCCTCTGACCGTGCTTCTCTGTCCCTCCACAGTCCGCAAAGGGACGGCTCCCCAGGTTTCTGTCCCTGGCCCTTTTTTTCTCTGCTTTTAGTGCTATCCACTCTCCTGACTTCAAAGTCCACTTCTACAATGACCTCCAAATCTTTATCTACACACTCCATCTCAAATCAGGCTCATACTCATTTCTTCCATGTTTCTGTTTGTGGCACTGCCATTCTCTCAATTTTCAAGGAATTTCAATTTTCTTGAAACCTCAGAGTTCCCTTAAATTTGCAGCTCTATTCCCTTGCCCTTCGTCGTACATCCTATAGATTAGGGGTATTGAGCCTTTCTTCCCTCCCATTTTAACAAACCAGGAACCTCTTTCCTGCCTTCCACACTAATTTAACTATTTAAGCCTACAAACTAACCCTCTGGTCACAGCTCTGATCATGGCTCACCTGTATAAATTCAGCCCTCTTCATGCTCAGTCTCTAGATTCCTTTCTAGTCTTTCCTTCCTTTAGTACAAATTATACATTCAATGGGAAAATAAAAAGAAAAACCTCTAAGATAACTGAGTGATCAGCTTAAGTGAAATACAGGTAGAAACTCTACATGCTCACATAGAATAAATATTCTAGGGGAAAAAATCTAGAGACATACAACTTCTGCATCTACTCCAGCAACAGACACCTGGTTTTTCTTTGTTTTGTTTTGTTTTGTTTTGTTTTTGAGACAGTCTCTCGCTCTGTTGCCCAGGCTAGAGTGAGTGCCATGGCATCAGCCTAGCTCACAGCAACCTCAAACTCCTGGAAGAGAGACTCCCACCAACTTACCAGTCTCCAAAAAGTACTAAGTGTCTAAGTGGCATGGAAACATTTGGAGACAAAGATAGCCTCTACCCTCTAGTAACTCAGCATCTCCAACTAATTCCCAAATGTCTTATTAATAGAGAGAAAAAAATGATCACTCCTAATAATCTTACCATTTTTATCCATCGAATGTGATCAGACTGCTTCTTGCCAACCTCAGCAAAGGAACGAACAATAGGAATGAGGTTGTTTCTCTTCTTTTCATTCTGATGATGATGCTTTTTGAGAAGGGCTTCTCGTACTTTAACCCTCATACTGTCATTCAGGTCACTGAACAGTTCTTGCTGATCCAGGATCAGGTCTGAAAAGTAGGCACTCAGATGAACATACAAACTGAGGGTCAGTGAACCCAAGGAGGAAGCCAACACCAGGTGCGGTGGGGTGTAAGACATGGGGTAGGGGGGCAGCTCCACTAGGGTCATTGAGGTACAACTTTAGCTTTAGTGTCTGAAAGAGCTATTTGATGATAGTGGCTGTGAAAGTATACTTTATTCATGAACAAATCATTATATTAGGAATAGAAACTATTGAGCATTTAATATGTGCCAGGAACTATACTGTGAACTTTACGTACATTATCTTAACTAATCCTTTTATAATAAAAACCCTGAGGCCAGGCGCAGTGGCTCATGCCTGTAATCCTAGCATTCTGGGAGGCATAGGAGGGCAGATCATTTGAGCTCAGGAGTTCGAGACCAGCCTGAGCAAGAGCGAGACCCCATTTCTACTAAAAATAGAAAGAAATTAGCTAGACAATTAAAATATATATAGAAAAAATTAGCCAGGCATGGTGGCGCATGCCTGTAGTCCCAGCTACTCGGGAGGCTGAGGCAGGAGGATTGCTTGAGCCCAGGAGTTTGAGGTTGCTGTGAGCTAGGCTGACACCACAGCACTCTAGCCTGGGCAACAGAGTGAAG